AGTTAATGATTTATTAATATCAGTTAAAATATTACTGATTTATCAGTGATAAACTATTAGTAAATTAATTCTGAATGATTTCATCACTAGTTGACCATTACTTCTCTAAGGAAAAAAAAAGTTGGGTTATTTGTCGGGTCCGTTCACTTTGCTGATTCGAGTTTGTAATTCGAGTTCAGATGTGATTTTATTTGAGAACTTTTTACTGTAGTAAAAAAGTTAGATGTGACTGTTTTTTAGAACTTTTTACTATAGCAAAATTCGAATCGGCGAAATGAACGGGACCGGAGGCTAAGAAAGCGTCATTTACCTAATTTTCCCTTTAGTTTACTTCTTCCTGCCACAAAACTATATATATATATATATATCTGTGTGTGTGTGTGTGTGTGTTTTTATGTTTTTTGTGTATATTATGTGTATGTGTGTATTAGCTCCGAGAATGAACTGTTTTTGTGGGCAGATAAGTATTGTAAGATAGATATTGTTTGTAAATTTGAAGCAGGGGCAGAAATAATTAATAGGTTTTGCGAGCTTCCTGAAGAGATTGTGGAGGAAATTCTATTGAGGTTGCCCGGTGACTCTCTAGAAAACTGCAAGGGCGTTTGTAAGTGATGGTTTAAACTGTCCGAGTCTCTAGGGGAAACAGTAAGCTCTCCAGGACCAACATTTTGAAGTGGATTCCGGAAGAATTATTGGAAGAACTCCGCCATCCTTACATCTTCCATGTCGACCTTGTTAGGAAATTACGTTTCCTAATAATAATTATGGGTCACATATTTATAATAATTATGTTGACGCTATTTAATTAATTGGTCTAATTATAGAGAGCTCAAATAGTCTCCTAACTAGGTATGAGCTAAATGAGTGGATACCTAATATTGACTCAATTAGGTTTAATGAGAGTCTAATGAGACAATATATAAAGAAATTTAGGTTACGGTCCCCAATACGTCAAACCATTCGGCCGTTTTCCCGCTTCCCCATCTAGAGTGAGAACACCCATTCAAGAATCTTGTGATTTGATTGAGAAAAATAATAACTCGACGTGCTCGTTATCTTAGAGATTTCTGCTGGAGATAATGGCTGCACCAATAGAGACAAGTATTTGTTCTAAACTATTTTCTTAGTAATTTTGTGTGATAATTCTTAGGATGTGGAATAAGGATTGAAGTCCAACAGACCTCGCGAACGATCGCGGTAGAGCCAGACGCAGAGCAACGAGTTTTTGCGGCTGCTTTTACGTTGTGATGGCGTCGTTCGCGTGTTTGACTCTTAAAAAGATTGGATAGCTGTTTTTGTTAAACCCTGCACTCGGAGAATTCAAGCTCTTTCCTCTTACTTTGATTGCTTCAGAGGAGCTTCGGAAAAATTCCACTTCCTGAGGCGGCATATATCCCGGCTTTGCTTATGCTACTTTATGTTTGAAGACTCTAATTTCGGTCTAGAAAGTAGAGAGGAAATATGCAACCTTAAATTATGGCTTCTCTTGAAACTTTAGTTGGATTATATCAAACTCCACTTGTTTGAGAAAATGCTCAACCATTTGTTTATCTCATTAGTTGACTTTCGAGCTAATCTTTCCTACTAGCTGGCTCTTACATTAACCAGATATGTTGCTTCATTCTTTTGTGTTTTTCCCCTTTTTTTTTGTGATTAGAAAACATAGTGTAGCCGATTCTCTCTTAGCCAAATTTTCATGAGAAAGAATCAAGGATAATCATAAATCCATGGTATTTGGTATTTTCTCTCCCCTTTTTTTTTTCTTTTTTACCACTGATTATTTATTTTGCATATCACATTGTGCCATGTATACTTGAAGGGAAATACTAGGAAAGGACAACGTTATTAAAAACGACAAGAGTAAAATGGAGATAGGGTGAGATGACACCATCGAATTTATGATGGTGTGAGTAACATTGGGTTCATTACTCGTAGATAATGAAGATATGATAAAATTACACCACTATTTTTTTTTTTTTTTTAAGAGTACATGAATTGGGGAAAAGAATCTTTCGAATTTCCAACAGTAAACAAGAAAACAAAACTGTCCTGGTTTAACATGGACCTTTCACTACTATGGCAAACTAATAAATCAAATTTAACTTCAATACAACAAGAAGACCAACAAGCAAAAATGGCCATAAAAATGTGGTATAAGCTTCTCTAAGCATCTTTTTTTTTTTTGGCGTAGGTAGTGGTAGTCTCACCGCCCATTTCTTATCAACTAGGAGGATCTAGTTTGCCGCCTCCTACTTCCTAACTCCTAAATAGTACTTTCATATTCCATTAATATCATTCTGTTTGTCATTTTCGAATCATTTTCTATAAGGTTGTGGAGCCCAAAATTAGGAGATAGGCCAATGGTTCACGTTATTTTCTTATTTTCTTTTTTGCTTTTTCTCTTATTTATATATGTAAAGTCTTAATTCAGGCATCCGACCAATCTGATAAATGTAACTTATGAATATTTACGCGTAATGTCGCTTATTCATACATGTAATTTTTTTATATGTTCATGTAATACTCAATATTACATATGTTGAATTATATTTATTAAATATTATACTCAAATAAACTGAGTGTTACATACATATAAACGATGTTATACGTGTATAAAAAAAATATTTGTTCGATTGATATGAGTTTCCGGCTTAACATAATTCCTATGCATGTATATAAAATATATAACTTTTATTTATATTTTTTTTTTATTTGAGTCCCACTCAAACCCGCGTCAAAACAAAGCGATTTCTGCTTTAGCCTCAGGTACCTAATTCCTTTATTGCAATTCAAGAAATATATACAAGTGTCTAAATTATGTATAATCCTTGCACCAAGTTGCTTTGGTGCTTATATGTACTAGCTGGCCATTTGACGACATAAACACAAACATGTAACATCAAAAAAGAATAGAAATAATAAAAAAAAAAAACACAAAACATTTACCGTATTTGAAATTATTCTTATTTTTATTTTTTATGTTTTTTTTTAAATGAAAATGATTTTAAAACAACATTTGACATAATTAAATGTAAAAATATAAAAATGAAAATAATTTTTTAATTTAGTATAAAATAAAAAAGAAATAAAAAATAATTTTTAATCATTTTTTATTTTTTATTTTCATTTTCTCCTCTCTTGAACAGAGAGAAACATTAATGAATTTTTTATATTGAAAATAATTTCTTAATAAAATTATTAAGCATATTTTTAAAAATAATTTATATCTAAAATTTTTATAAAAAAATAAAATTATTTTATAATAAATTCTAAACGCATTCATTATTTTCAAAAGAAAAATCAGTACGCGGGTACGAGTCTCAATATTTACAGTATCTTTTATAAAATATCTAATGATAGTGATTAGTGGAAGAGGGCGATTTTTTTTTAAAGATTTTGATTGGCAATTTGTCGTATTGTGTGTGAAATGCTATAATCCAACGGCTGGAAACTATCTGCGGAACATGTTTCACAATCAAATAATGTAATTATTTTGCGATTTTTTTTCCCGCGAAGAATATTGGTTAAGAAATAAATGCATAATAAACAAAAAGAGTCCAATAAAATGAGAACCGCTAATTCAAAGTATGTCTCTTAAAAGATGCATATATTTGCGACATACCTTATGCGTCACATTGGAAAAAGGCCATTACCCCCTGCAGCAACTTCCATTCCCATTGACTAGGTTCCCACAATGAAATTGCCACGTCAAAAGCATGACTATTTACTTCTCATTAGTCAATAAATCTCTACAATGAATTCAACCATTTCAAGTACTAACAGGTGTTGATATTTTAGAGAGTGTTTGTTTCACAACTCAAGTTAAGAACTGGAATTGTGTTGTAATTTGAGTTGTGAAAATAACAAGACTTTCATGATTTAAGTCATATTGCTACAATGTTTTATTTTACAAAAATTTAAATTTAATTTTTTTATTACAGTATTTTTTTCTCACGTATACAACTCAAATCATGCAAAAAAATAATGTCTAATTTTTTTTCCACTCAAATTTCCACTCTCTAAATTCTCTCTCTTCTTCTCCACACAACTCTACTCTAATTCCTTCACCTCCCAAACTTTAAAGTTGTTCCTCCCAAATCCTATCACATTTCTAAAATTGGGCATGATAATTAAAATATAATGTGAAATAATTAAGCATCTTATGATTTAAAAATAAGAGCAATTTTATATTGCATGTTGTAAATTTTTAATTGGATACTTATAAATTATATCATTAAATTAATTCAATCATTAAAATAACGGTTCTTAATGGTTGTATAAAATGTCAATCAGAAAAATATATAAGCAAAAGGTTAAAATCTTCAACAAACTTTTTTTACTTGTCCAATCAAAATTTAAGCTATTAGTATAATGAGTGTCTCATTTATTGAAGAACAATCTGATTCCATCATATTAAGTTGAATAAAAACGCTCTTTTTAAAGTGATATTATCATCATCGGTAATTATCACTGTACAAATTTACCATCATATTTTTACATGTTAGTTTAGATTTATAGATTATGATTCTCAAGTCATCTTACTAGCCAATCTCTAATTGACTAAAATACTAAAGAATACCAGTAGTGTTGTAAGATTTGGCCTTTTCCTATTAGTTGTATTACTTATAAGCGTCTCTTTTCTTATGCAGTCATATCCAATAGCTGACATGGCGAGAAGACATTGGTGAAGGTCGAGGAAGAGAAAGGTAGGGTTCAAAGCAGGGAATCACAAGTTAACCGAAAAGGGACACAACGACCAGAGCATCCGAGGACAAAAAGTAGTTTTTTTTTTTTTTTTTTCCTTCTTTTTCTTGGATATCCTTCTATTCTCTCTCTCTCTCTCTCCCCTTGGGATATATATCATTGGCTGTATAACATGGACTTTTCACAAACCCAGAGTTGGTTTTTGTTTGGTGGCTCTTCTCACTCTTCTTATTCCTCTCTCTCTCTCTCTCTCTCTCTTCTTTGCGTACTCGAAGCCGATAACATTTTTATTTCATATTATAATAATAATAACAAACATAATCAACGTAAGCGTTACTACCCATCTCTCTTCTATCTCATATCTTACTGCTTTATTTTTTGATTTTTTTTTTGTTTCTGTTGAATTGTTCCCAACTTTTTTTTTCTGTGTTTTTCCTTTGAGGGAGCTTCAAAGAGCAATCTTGATCGTAATTTGTGTTGCTCTAAACTAAACAACATATGGTTTTTGAATAGAACTTGTTGTGTGGTGTTTTTAGCTGGAGAGAAGAAAAGGGAAAGTGAACCCAATTGTGAGCAGCATAAGAGAAAGGTTCAGGCTCAAAGCGATGCCGTTGAATATAGTACACGAGGCCAATGGTTTTCCCAGAATCATACTCACTGAGCCATGTGGGTCTTCTGCTGAGGTAATTGGTTCTTACTTTTTGTCCGTACGGGTTTTTTTCCTAAATTTTATTGGAGTTGATTCTTTTGGTTATGGATAATTGGATATATGTCATGTCATGTTATGCTAAGATTTTGATAATAGTAAGGTTGTTCATGTATATTCCTACTTGAAAAGGCTTTTGCATGTTATGAATTTGTGGGTTCATCACAGATTTGTTTTTCTACATATTAGACTATTTGGAAGAGATTTTAGCTTATAAACCATCTTTCTTAATGGTTTGAGGATTATTGGTATGGTGGGGTATGGTTGATTTTAATTTTGAAGCTTGTTGAAAGCCATCCTTCATAATCCTTTTTAAGGAGAAATGGTTATTGTGGAGCATGTACTGTGGTCTCAATAAAGGTGAACCTTTTTACAGTTCAAAAAGTTGGAAAAAAAAAGTATGTGTATAATGCATGGGACAGTAATAGAATTGAAATGGTTCAATTTATCGTAAAGGGCTTAATTGTGTGGCTTTGATTTGTCTAACGTGTAGTGATTTTGTGCTCACAATCTTTTACAATTTGGATGTGTATGTTTAATTTATGTTCTTTGGACATTCAATGGTTTCAGGTGCTCCTGTATGGAGGGCAGGTCGTTTCTTGGAAGAATGAAAGAAGAGAAGAACTGCTTTTTGTGAGCAGCAAGGTAAAACAAAAAAACTTTTTTTAAGCGTGTTTGCTTTCAGATACAATTGAGTAGATTTAAGGACTGATGTTATCATTTTATTATCCTAAGAATTGTTGGTGAAATATGGATTTGGTTTTTCTCATCAAAGACAATCTTTTTTCTGCTCCGCAGGCAATTTGGAAACCGCCAAAAGCCATAAGGGGAGGTATACCTGTTTGCTTTCCACAGGTCAGTCTTTAATAAGAAACTGAAAAATATTTTTGTTCTGTTTTGCCTCTTGTTGGGATTGAAAAAATCCTTAACTACTGCTGCCTTTCGCAGTTTGGAAACCTTGGCTCGCTGGAGCAGCATGGATTTGCAAGGAACCGATTATGGTCATTGGATAATGACCCTTCACCTCTGCCTCTGGCTAACAATCAGTCATCGGTGGATTTGATCCTGAAATCCACAGAAGAGGATTTAAAGACCTGGCCCCGTAGGTATGCTCTTGAAGGCTGTGATCATTGCATCAAGCATGTCTTATGTTGAAGGTTATTGTTACATATCTAATCTCCTATTAACCTTTTCTTGGTGTTTCTGAAGCTTTGAACTGCGACTTCGTGTCTCTCTTAGTGCTGGAAAGCTCGCTTTGATTCCCCGAGTGAGGAATACCGATAACAGACCATTCTCTTTTACATTTGCACTGCGGAACTACTTATCCGTATCAGATATCAGGTATTTAGCTTTTCTGATGCAAAATGTTCTACCCTCTTTTAACTTTTATGTCTTAAAAGTATACTATAAAGTTGTAACTATGGTGGACTTGGACTTGGAGTTGCGTGATTTATTAATACCTGAGCTTGGAAGGTTTTGAATTTATCTTTTCTCAGAGTCATTGCATGATACTGTTTAATTTGCAGTGAAGTGCGTATTGAAGGCTTGGAAACATTAGATTACTTTGATAATCTGATGCGCCGAGAAAGGTTCACTGAGCAGGCAGATGCAATTACCTTCGATGGGGAGGTAACTAAATTTTATTATGCTTTGATTTTCCATCTGACTGGAAGTTGCGGTTGGAATATACGCGTCATATTTGTATCGATAGTAATGTCCGAGAAACACGTCATTTGTCTTCAGATTGACAGAGTGTATTTGAGCACACCAACAAAGATTGCCATTATAGATCATGAGAAGAAGAGAACCTTTGTCCTCCGAAAAGTTGGAATGCCAGATGCAGGTTCTTATCGATACTCATAGTATTTGGATAATTTGATTCTTATTTAATTTTAATCCATAAGATTAAACTAATAAACTTGAATATCTTTTTGCTATACAGTTGTATGGAATCCGTGGGACAAAAAGGCCAAGGCACTTTTGGATTTAGGTGATGAGGACTACAAAACCATGTTATGCATGGATTCTGCATCCGTGGAAAACACAATTGCCTTGAAACCCTATGAAGAATGGAAGGGCCATCAAGAAATCTCTACTGTCTCATCAAGCTATTGCAGTGGGCAGTTGGATCCTTCTAAGGTTCTTTACGGCTTTCGCTGACCTAATCTTTGTGCTTCACAAAACTTTTTACTCTCTGCGTCTCTGATAGCCTATGTGCCCTTAAGGCTGAGCTATGTCTCGCCCCCTTTTCGGTAGATGAGATTGGGATGAAAGGGCTGGCTTTCACTAACCGTCAGTGAAGGTGACACTGCATAGCACATGTTCTATAGTAATTTATCGGTTTGTTTTATTTATTCCCTTGTATGCACCCACTTGCTTGTTCTTGTATAATCTTTGTAGTGACAGTTTAGGATGTTACTGGAGTGAGCATAAATTAGCTTAAATATAATATGTGATAGTGTCATTGAGGGGTCAAACCATCACAGGCTGGGCAACAGGGCATTTTTATGTGTTGCCACTTAGTAATGGTGAAGAATGTTTATCTTGTATCAGAGTATTGTCAAATAAATGAGCTTCGTGGTTATATTAAGCACCCCATGAGTCATTTATTTAGTCCTTTTCTTGCTATGAACCATACATGTAGATGCAGTAACGGAAAATATTGGAATTTCATGTTTGTATTTAAGTGCATGCTGAGTTATGTGGATAAAAAACACTTAATTCTTAATGAGTAATTGGCCAGTCCCTAGGTGTAGACTCGGACCTTATTGACTCAAACCTATTTCGCCGCTAGCTTAGAAGAGAGAAAGCAGGGACATCCCGAACTTTTCTTTGGCTTCCTTGTCAAAGGGGTCGTCTCCTAAGTACATATGGATATAGGCCCTGCAAAGAAGTTCACTTTCAACCTTGCTCACAATTTCTCCCATCACTGCATTCATCAAAGACTTTAGTGTTAAATGTTCCTTTGAGAATGAAGAACAAATGATGTGTCGGTGTAAAACGTTATTTGTGCGCTCTCACCTTTTGCTTGAAGGACGTGTCCTGGTAGGCGAGAAATCTCTATCACGGAACCAGAGGTTAACTTAATGTCATCTGATGCTTGACCCAGGACCCTATAAGAAACGTGCAAAAATGAAAAAGAAAAAAAGAAGGGCAAAAGATTTTTGATAAGAATGTTATATATCAAGCTAAAATAAAAGTTTGTTTGAGACAGGAAGGAAATTACTTGTTTGTGAGGTCCTCATTCTTTTTGCCACCAGTCAACTTCTTTATTGATGCTCCAAGACCTTCATCAAAGCTCTTCCTTACCATGCTCATTGTGAGGCCAGAGTAGACAATGACCATTCTGACCATCATGGCGAAATCACCGTCGATCGCCAACTGAAACATCTCCTTTGTGGGTTTTGCCGGGGATTTCCCTATTTTTGACTTGAGGAGATCTTTCAACTTCTCATTATCAGCATACACTCCTGCAGGTCGAAGAACATTGACAACGCTAGTTATTGGGCCGTTTAGTTTACTAATTTTAGTTTTTAATTTGAGTTGAAATGTGACTTTGTGTGATAACTTTTTACTATAACAAAAAAGTTAAATGCGACTGTTTTTAAGAACTTTTTATTGTAGTAAAACTCAAATTCTAAACTCGAATCGATAAAATGAATGGGGCCTTAATTTGCAGTCTACCCCTGCATGATTGCATGTATTATTTGACATGACACAGCCATTTAAAAAAATTAAATGCGACTGTTTCTAAGAACTTTTTATTGTAGTAAAACTCAAATTCTAAACTCGAATCGATAAAATGAACGAGGCCTTAATTTACAGTCTACCCCTGCATGATTGCATGTATTATTTGACATGACACAGCCATTAGTAGACGCTTTTTGGAAGCCAATTAAACAAAACGTCACGATTCCTTCCCATCTTTTTATTGAAGAAAAATGTAGCTCAACGACAAAGTTCAGGCCGAAAGCCTTTTAGAAAACAGAACGTTACAAATTTCATGTCCTTTTTCAGCTTACTTGTTCGTTTGCACCACGGCATTTTCTTATTGTCATAAATATCTTGGTCACTTAGCTATAGTACTTGGTCTTTTCACTTTTCTCATTCTTTTATTTTAAATGTAAAATTACTGCTAGACTAATGCATGCAATCATGTAATACGAGATATTTATAGTACCAAAGTGAGTGAGACGTGTTAGATAATTAAGAATCAAATAAGTGCGAGTTTTAAAGTAATACCAAAGCCATAAATCTTGATGCCAAGGCCAAGCATGGACTTCTTCCTCAAACCAATGCAGTTCAACAATTTGCCATCATCCAGTTTAACAGGGAAAGTCTTGGGTTCAACCTCCAGAGCCACTTTCTCCTCCTTCACTTGACCATTAACTTCTCCATCTTTCTCTCCATTAGCTTCCTCCTTCTTTGGCTCCTCAACAGTTTTGGCTCCATTCTCACACTTGACACCATTGGCCTCCTCGAACTCAACACCATTTTCTTTCTCTGCTCCATTCTGTGACTCCGAGGCCACTCCGGTTTTGGGATCGATATCGACCGTCAATGACTTCATCAACAGTTGCAGTTGCAGCCATTTTTCAACTTTGTGTTTATACAACGGAGAAAGTAAAAACTGATCAAGTGAAAGACTTCCTCCTCCTTTGGCTCCTCAACAGGTTTGGCTCCATTCTCACACTTGACACCATTGGCCTCCTCGAACTCAACACCATTTTCTTTCTCTGCTCCATTCTGTGACTCCAAGGCCACTCCGGTTTTGGGATCGATCTCGACCGTCTCTGTCCTGGCAATGACTTCATCAACAGTTGCAGTTGCAGCCATTTTTCAACTTTGTGTTTATACAACGGAGAAAGTAAAAACTGATCAAGTGAAAGAGCTGGCTGGGCGACTTGTACATAAACAATGGAGCTATATATAGGGAGAAGTTGGTGAGGCTTAGACAAGAGGCATTACATTTGCGTGGATGAGAGAAGCGTTATACGTAAAGTAGTGTCTTTGTCTCCTGATAGAGTTGCATTGGAATTAACGATTACAGATAAATTGAAGTTAATGGGAGAAAATTGTGTATTAGGGCATTATAATCAATACACAGTTCGCTGATTCAAGTTTTTAATTCGAGTTGAAATGTAATTTTATGTGAGAGTTTTTTACTGTAATAAAAAAATTAGATGTGACTGTGTGTGAGAGCCTTCTACTGTAGTAAAACTTAAATTCTAAACTCAGAATCAACAAAATAAACATGGGGCATGTTCTTTTGTCCAAAAAACTCAAAAAAAGACAACTCGAGTTCCAACTTTATTCAAGTTCACGTTCTTTTAAGTTTTAACTTTATTCAACCTTGCTCAACTTTATTCAAGTTACAACTTTAACTCAAGTTATAACTCAAATTCAACTCAAAAATTACACTCTAAAAGAACAACGATCTCTTAACATTGTAGATAATTTATTTTTTATATTCTTGTTTTTTTTTATTTTGTATTTTCCATAATCCTTCTCTGAGTTTGGAATTCACACATCCCAAGAGTTCATCTGCAGGAATTCCTGAGCTCAATTCAAGACCCCATTAAACCACAAACTTTGAATTGGTGCTACTTTCACCATTGAAAGGTGTGCACGCTTCATTCATCTTTCACACTTCCCCGGCCCAGGTTAGTCAGGTTCGTCAAGTTTATGTAAAATTGTGTATTACTAAAGCAGAGGAAAAAAAAGGCTATTACATTGAGTTAAAATACATTATGTAAAAGTTAATATCAATTATATATATATATATATTTAAGGAACGCTATATTTAGCCTAACAAAAGTGTAAAAATGTAATATATAACACCATCTATAATATAAATGTTAATACTAATTGTATATTTAACATTAAAAAATGTGATATAATATCTTATTTTTATTTTTATTCTAATGCATAATACTACTTAAAATGTTAAATATATTTTTCTTATAACCACTAAGCTTTACTTAAAGTTGTAAAGTAAATTTTTATTTTAAAATAATTAAAAAATGTAAAAATTACAATGATTACATGAAGAAATAAACATTTTGACCAATAACAATTAAATATCAAAATTTTCATATATTATACTTAGAAAAAAATTTACCACAAAATATAACATATGAAAAATTTAGTACAACAAATAACATTACATTAAAAAATATTTTTTATACTCAATCATAACATTGTATTAAATTCTCTTTTTATCTCTAATGGATAATGTTATATGGAAAAGAGGAGGAGAATAGGCCAAAATAAAAGATGCATAAAAATTAACTCTCTCTCCTCCTTTCTCTCTCCTCCTTTCTTGCTCTTGTTCTCTCTTTTTTTATTCGATCAATACTCTCTCTCTCCTCTTAGTCTTTCTCTTATTATTTGTTAGACACCAATGTTCTCTCTCTTCTCCATTCTATTTCTCCCATAAGAATCCATGAGAGATCCGTGAGAAAATCCATTCTACAACGACGACGATCTACAAATCCCGATCGACAAAGACTATCTGCAAATCCCACCTAATGACGATGGCGATCTCCTCGCAATTTGAGATTGCTTCTCATAAGTCCGGCTAGTGCACCCGAATAACGACTCACTTCGAGAGAATGATAGATATAGGAGCTAAAGAGGTTGGAAGAGAAAGAGACTGGATGGTAAGGGGAGGAAAGAGAAAAAAAAGAAGAAAGAGAAAGGGGAGATGAGAAGGAGAGGGAGGGAGATAGAAAAAGAAAACACAAAGAGATAAATTATTCATTATACCGGGTGCATTTTATCATTTTGTTTACATGGTCGTTCAATCGTGTCATTTTATTTATGTGATACGCTCAATTAATAAAAAAATATTATTTTGATTATGTGTTTATGTTAACTTTAAATAATTATGTCTTGTTTATTTTATTAGTTTAGTTTATTTTAACTCAGTTTGAACTAACGTTTGGTAAGCATGCAGTTTGAATTTTATATTCCCGGTTTGAACTGAGTTAAATGGCTCAACTTAGAGTTTAGCTATCCCCTCAAGTTTAACCATTCAAACTATTTTTGAACAGTTTAAAGTGCCCACTATATTTGCTTTTCACACCTACTAAATACAAATTTAAATTTTATTCAATGTTTAAATTAAGACTTTAACTACACATCTAAACGTCAATTCAAACTACAATTTAAACTACATAATTTAAATTTTTCTGTTTAAATCAAAAGGTTCAAATCAATAAAATTCAAACCACCAAACCAAACAAGACCTATATTTTTCTCTCTTACTGTATTTTGTATTAATTATTTGATCATAACAGTCATAAATAGTCCACCTAAATCTCTTACGTTTAACTTTCAAACAATAATGTTCTTTTGGAGTATAACTTGAGTGTAGTTTTTGAGTTGAATTTGAGTTATAACTTGAGTTGAAGTTAGAACTTGAATAAAGTTGAGTAAAATTGAATAAAGTTGAAACTTAAAAGAACGTAAACTTGAATAAAATTAAAACTTGAGTTGTCTTTTTTTGAGTTTTATGGACAAAAGAACATGCCCTAAATATTTAAAAATAATTACGCACATTGACTTTAACATGGATAATAGAATTCTGGCAATGTTAACTAAAGTCAAATATGATATAAAATCGGGAACTTACTACTTTCATCTCATTATTTTGACATTTTTCATTTTCCTGGCGTATTTTTCTTTTTTCCATCGCTAAATCACATTGTGGAGTCAAAAGATCAAAGCAAATATATTATAAAAAGACTTCGATAAAGGATTTTTAATAATTGTAATTGTTCATTAATATATAATTGTGACCAAACGATGAGTATATAAAAATACGAAAGAGTGACTGCACAATTATTATTCAACTTATACACTGTGCCACTAGTGTTGTCTCTATTTACGTCCTTATTATATTAATTTTCAGCTGCAGAAACTATATAAAGATTCTCTTAAGGAAAGAAGTATATGAAATTATTAAGGAAAGCAGGGTACGTTTTCGTTAAGTGGAAATTAAAGCACCATAAATGTGACGAATGAAGCATTCTTTAAATGACCAAATAATTAATGCAAAATACCGTAGGAGAGAGAAATGTAATTACTTAGACCTCGTTCACTTCGCGGATTCGAGTTTTCAATTCGAGCTGAGATGTGACATTTTATGAGAGCTTTTTACTGTAACAGAAAAAGTTAGATGTGATATTTTCTGAGAACTTTTTACTGTAAAAACCTAAAACTGAAAACTCGAATCGGTGAAATGAACGAAAGTTAACATTAACACATCATTAAAATCGCAACTTTTTATTGGTTACATGTATCATGTACCTAAAATGACGTGGTAAATTAGGGTTTCGTTTGGTATGAGAGTTCAAATCAGGATGATTCTAGTTTTGATTTTAAAGTCAGGATTATGATTCATGATTTTGGGTCAAAATCATAGTTATGAAACCAGAACCAGAATCAGGGATTTAAACCACCCAAAATCAAGGGGGAATGTGGTTTTAGAATTATGAGTGATTTTGATTTAAAATATCACATCAGGATTCAAATCTTAAATCAGAACAATGCAAACCAAACATTGATTCTGAATGAGTCACATCAGAATCACTTTTTATTTTTTATAAACAAACACTGGTTTAAACTAAAATTATAATTCTGGGTTCTAAAATCCTTATACCCAACGTGCTCTAGGTGTATTGAATAATTTCTCGCTCACCCTGAGAACGGAAATCATAGTAAAATATTTAAAATTGAAAATGGCCTATTACTTTTTAATGATTGATAAATTTACTTTTAAAGATTTTAAAAATAAACTTATTTACTATAATTTTCCTGTTATACATCTCTCACGATTTGGTCTCCGCACCGCTTCAAATGTGATTTACTGCCTCCCTACAAGATTGAGAATGTGAAAAATATATATATATATTAATCCTTGCTTCAAACTAGTTTGAATGTGATCATATGAGGCTCCCTTTTAATCGAGTATGATGATTTCGACAACTAGGCAAAAACAATGCTCCAACTTTTGAATCTGGGTTTCAAACCCCAACTTCTAAATTTCAAACCGCAGCTGATCTCTTAAAAAGGAAGAATACACTAGCATTTCCAAGATCTGCTAACTTCCCCTGCTTGGATTAACTTCCAAGACTTTTCCAATCACAACCCAAAATCTTCTATAATTCTACTTCCCTACTGTAACTAACTAGCAGCCCATTAGAACAAATTGTAACACCTCTAAGTGAGTGCAAAATAACAAATCTGGGCTTCAACAGAAGAGTTTCTAACATGGGAATAAGACTGACTTAGTGTCTCTCAAATGAATGTGAATCGCTAGAAATATGTGAAGTGTACGGCTAACCCAATAACGAAAGTTTCGGTAAGGGAACCGGAGCATGCTATCATGAGACAAAATATATATTTTTTAAAGAGATTCTATTCGTAACTATTATATGTCCAAGGTCCAATATTGAAATAATTTCAGAGGTTTTCCTTGACTTTGTCCGTGTCAACAAACAATTCGAAATGTCTTGACTTTTTTAGAACATGTTTGAGTCAAATAATAATGATTCGAAGCACTTCTTTTTACATTATTTTAGAGGACGTTTGGTTTATATATTCAGAATCATGATTTAGAACCATTCTTGTTTTATGTGTATTTTTTGTGAGAAAAAATACTGTAGAGAACCATGAATCATGATTTAGAATCGGTGACGAATATAGGAAACAAACATCCCTTTAGAAACTCAAGGACTCAATAGTATGGATATGGAAAATACATGATTTCTAATCCTAACAGGAAAAGGAGGGAAACGGATACCGAGTTAGAGTGCTACAGATGGTCTAATGAGAAGAATGGAAGTAGAGCTCTTTATGTTTCGTAGAGGGATTCGTTCCCTGATTCGAATCATGATTCGTGGTTTGCTATAATATTTTCTCTTATAAAAAATTCACGTAAATAAAAAATAATTCGAATCACATAATTTAAATTCTCCAATCAAACGTCCTTTTAAGTGTTTCAGTCGGCGGAGCGACGCTAGGACTTCTTTTTATAGGGCAAGGAGACTGTGATTTCGTCACTTTCTCTTTACGATGTGGGAAAATTGATGCCATTATTATTACAAGCAAGATGTCCCTAGGACTAGAGTGATATGGGCCTATTATGGACGCCCATCAAGGAAGTCAACAAAATCTAGCCCAATTACGAGAAATTGGACCTGGGAAGGGAGGACTTGAAAAAACGGAGAACATGACCCATTGGACTTATCAAGATTACCCATTGGACTTTTTACAGGGAAAACATGGCCTGTTGTCGAAACCATATCCGGTAAAGCCCTAAACCCACCTAAAACGTTCGGAATTCGTTTTCTCGAATCTTTCGAAGGAAGAGGAGGAAGAAGAAGAAGAAGAAGAAGAAGAAGTATTGGCCATGGAGATGGAGGACAGAGGTCGAAGCAGAAAGCGGAAGAGGGCGAAGCATCGCAGAAACAAGTCTGAGGGATACAAACAAGTACAACCTTCTCATTCGAAGAAAACAATCGGCGAAGTTCCAGAAGAAGATGAAGGAAAAGAACATCCTAAATCTTCTGCTTCTGTCAGGGCGAAAAAATCCGTCGGACTCGCCAAGTCCTCTTATTTTCTGGAAAAGGTCTGTTCTTCTTCCTGGATTTGGTTTATACTTTACTGTTTTTCAACGAATGTTGTAATTCAAAAATAATATTTTTTTTTTGATGAGGTGCAGATGAAAGCGAGGTTATCAGGTGGGCATTTCAGAATGCTCAACGAGAAGCTCTACACTTGCACGTAAGTAATTGCTCATTTTCTTCTCTGAATTATCTTCTCTTTGAACTTTTGTTCTTACCTTGTTAATTTATGATTTTTGGATTGATACTTAATCTGGTTGGTATTTTGTCGTTTCTAACCAAAATTTCACTTGGATTGGCCAAATACTGGTTGAATTATCCTTTTTATTTATTTATTTTTTCTACTTTATCGGAGTTCAATTTTGTTTTTGGAATCAAACTTGCTCTTATTTTCACAGCGGGAACGAGGCACTTGATTACTTCAAAGAAGACCCTACACTGTTTGATATGGTAAGATTGTTCCAATTGAATATATATATATATATATATATCTGTTCTTATGATTTTTAATGCATGTCCAATTTTTCGTTTCTATATTATGAAAAAAAAAAAAAGAATCATTGGAATCATGTTTAATACTCGCTATTCACTGTTGAAAATGGTTATGAATTAAAAATATAATGTCTTATGAAATCTTAATGACATTAGTATGGTATCTTTCTATTTGCAGAATGTAATTTCAGTATTAATATTTGTTTTTGGTTCTATGAAAAAAAAGAATACAAAGAAAAAAGGAAAGAAAAATTGATGAACAGAACTTGATGGTTTTTGTTGATAATTGACTTAAGTTACTTACCTGTCCAGTATCATGCAGGATATCAAGAGCAATTGTCGCATTGGCCTGAGCTACCAGTAAATATAATTATAAAATGGTTAAAAGATCATAGCCCTTCTCTGGTTGTTGCTGATTTTGGCTGTGGTAAGGTTTACTTTAATGTTCTTTGCACATTTCTGCAGATCAAGCTACAGAGCACTTTTTCTTTTATTATTAGTTGTGACCATTCGTTAATCTGTCGGTTTTTGAGCTCTGTTGATGTGTTTTTCTTTGATTTCCAGGTGATGCACGCCTTGCAAAAAATGTGAAGAACAAAGTCTTCTCCTTTGATCTTGTCTCACATGGCCCTTCAGTTATTGCTTGTGATATGTCAAACGTATGTGCTTTCAATCTGTATTGTTTATAGTGTCTACTACCACAATTGTGCTACGTGTTTTATTGCAACTGAGATCTTTTTCCTTGACCATCCAAAATTCTGAAGCAGGAGATCGGAGTGTTCAAAAATTTCACTAAAATGAGAATGTATGCATTGTAGTTATAATAAGCTCTGAAAATAAATTCTTTGTGCTTATTACTGGCAGACGCCTCTAAATTCCGAATCAGTAGATGTTGCCGTATTCTGTCTCTCGCTAATGGGAACAAACTTCCCGAATTACCTGCAGGAGGCATGCAGAGTTCTTAAGCCCTGGTCTGTGCTGCAAAACCCTGTGCTTTCTAAAAATTTTGGTGACCTTGTATGACCAAACTTCTTGTTCTCTAACATACATATTGTGGTTTATCAACAGTGGGTGGCTTTTGATAGCAGAAGTGAAAAGCAGGTTTGATCCAAATACTGGAGGAGCAGACCCCAAAAAGTTTACCAAAGCCGTTTGTGATCTGGGATTTTCCTCAATAACAAAGGTCTGCTTTATGTTACTATTATTATCACCTTGTTGCATTTAGTTTGATACGAGCATTGGTGCTGACAAATTCTCATTTTGTGCAGGACTTCTCCAACAAGATGTTTATTTTATTGTACTTCAAGAAAAAGGTCAGAGACGTCTTGAATGTTGTACATCAAATTCCGACTCTTACACCAGTTTTGTTGCTGGGGAAAGTGATATTCCTCGTTTTGCTAGTTAATAACGTTTGCATCTCTTATCTGTAGGAAGTGAAAGATTCAAAAAGGAGGAAGGATATCGAATGGCCTGAGCTGAAACCTTGTTTGTACAAGCGCCGGTGAGATTAACTCTCAGAGCTTTGTTTCGTAGGAGTGAAAAATGGGAGGAGGGAGAGGGGTGATAGTCGAAGGATTTTGATCTCGGAAAAAAAAAAAAAAAAAAAAAGAGAGCGAATGGGTTGGAAGAGGGATTTCAAATCCTTCATATGATCCCGATTATAATATCTTCGAATATGGAAGAATTAGAGTAGGAATTACATACCAAACACAACAAGATAAAGAGCCTTTTCCTCTCTATTTTTCTCACCTTGAGTTATATCGTATATTTCATTTCTATTTTTATATCCTTTATTTCATTTCTATTTTTTCCCTCTTACCAAACACATCCTAAGGTCTCGTTCATTTCACCGATTCGAGTTTAGAATTCGAGTTTTGTTACAGTAAAAAGTTTTAAAAAACAGTCGCATTTAACTTTTTTGATACAGTAAAAAGCTCTCACATAAAGTCACATCACAACTCGAATTAAAATCTTAGATCAACGAACTAAACGAGTCCTAAAAGAGTTTGTTTTACCAGAGTAGTTGCTTCAATATATTTACTGTTTTTTCGCCCTTAAGAATTTAGTTTGGTATGAAAATTTACTTCCCATTCTACATGTTTCAGAATTTATATTATTTTTTTGTTTCTCTTTCTGAGATCTTAATTTTATTGTTGTTCTCTTTCCATAATTTGTCCAAAGGCTATTTTAGTTCTAGCCCAAGAAAAATGTAAAAACGGTTATCACCGGGTATTACTTGGACATTTTATCGAAGGATTGTACGTATTATCAAATATCAATAATATAAAGATATGTGCCTTTTAGAATGGACATAACTTGGATAATTAACAAGAAAGGAAAATTGGAATGATTATTTTAAGAGCAAAGTGCACTGTTGCATCTTAAATTATTCGTTTTTTTTGCATAATGTATCTTAAACTTTTAATTGTAATAAACTTCATTTTAAACTTTACAATTAGTTACAATTAAGATTCAATAGTTAACGAATGTTATCAAATTGACGGTTTAATATGGGATTTGCATATGAAATGTAAAAATTGTCATTTTTTAAATATATCATGTGTAAATTTTGTGTCTCAAACTATCAATTTAAAGTTATTAAATTTTAATTATAACTGATTTTAAAGTTAAAAGGGTGCCGTTTGTCTACAATTTAAAGCTTCATGCAAAAACAAATTACGTGTCTGAACTGTGGGAGCCTTGTTTATGGTTGAAGTGTGAAAGAAAATTTGATTATTAGTGAATTTAGTAAAATACGACATGTACGGCCACATGTCCAACACACGACAGTAAAAATGTGAAGTAGTTGTTTAATGCGTGCGGGGAGTTGTCAGTGTCCGGCACGTGTGGATTCTGCGTTATGATCTCCTCCCAGATCATTTTTTAGATCCAGTTTGTTGATTCGTCCGTCCCCAATATTGGAATTTTACTTTCTATTAAAAAAAATTATAATTTTTCTTTTTAAAAACAAAATTTATGGTGATTTCTCAGAGGAAGGAGCCTTTGGAACTTGGTCATATAGAACAGTTGTTGTTCTTTTTTTCTTCAAAGTAAAAATATAAGGTTTTCGTTTTTTGTTTTGTTTTATTTATTTATTTTTTTTAGTAAAAGGTTTTAGTTCAAACAAGAGGGCAAAATAAAATGTCAAATGTGGAATTTGTCGCTTCTGTTCATTATAACGTAATTGTCTTCTTAGTTGCTGTATGAAATGGAGATACATTTTTAAGTTACATTGGAAAGTCAACATTTGTTGTTGTCTTTAAGATAAGATAGTGATTAAAAAAAAACGAAGATCTAAAACGAGAGAGAGTGTGCGAGAAGGAAAAAAAAAAAAAAAACAAAACAAATGAGGAGCAAATTAGGAAATCTATTTGTTTGAATTATGCTTCTCGTTATATAGAATGGAATAAAATAAGAAAAATTACAAAGAGCATAAATCTAAAATTTCCAAAAATCAACATGACTTTTCACTTCTATTCAATTTCTCATAAAATCTCCTAAATTATGGTTGACAAAACTGATGGGACCATTTCATCCTTCTCTTTAACATTCTATTAGCTACGAAGTGTCAATACAATAATCTAAAAAAGAACCAATCTGGTCTGGTAGGTAGCACAAGAAAGTTTTTATTCATTTCCTAATTTTCAGAACCAATCTGGTCTGGTCTGGTAGGTAGCACAAGAAAGTTTTTATTCATTTCCTAATTTTCACTCATTGAAAAAAATGGTCTAATTCTACACTACAACTCCGTTCATTTCACCGATTCGAGTTTAGAATTCAAGTTTTGTTACAGTAAAAAGTTTTCAAAAATAATCACATCTAATTTTTTTACTACAGTATAAAATTATCACATAAAGTCGCATCTTAACTCGAATCAACGAACTAAACGGGTAGAACTTCGTCTCTATGATTCATATTATTCCCATAGATAAATGAATAGAGTAAAAAAGAAGATCCTATCCATATAAATTGAGATATAACATAAAATAAAATAATTTATTACCTCCATCGCGTACCCTTAAATTAAAAGATAACATAAAATAAAATAAATAAAAAGCATAAACCACGTGACAATCAATATGAAGGGGTACAAGATGTTATGGCAATTCCTTATCCTTTTCCACTTCCGTGCTATCATGTCTCGAAAATAAAAGTACTTTCCTCTCTCTTGCGTGCCTAGATTTTTCTCTCTATGAGCTTACAACAATCAAGTCATTTCATTTTCTAGAAGAATTATTGAATACGAGACAAGTCAATAATTTGATAGGACTTCTCGACAACTCTTAAAAATTTTATTAAAAAAAAAAAATGTTTATTCTACTTTTATTTCTCCTGGGAGCACCTATAACAGGAATTAATTTCCAACATGATATCGTACCAAAATCAATTAAATCAACATTGTTCACACTTGCTTTAGAATTCGGAGAGTTGAGGATGAATATTTGAATATTCATTGTTTAAGTTCAAGACTTCTTCATTCGGAAATTAAAAACTTTTTAAGTACCAACCAATAATTGAAACGTTAGAGCCAAGGGGGGTTGAGAGTTGAGACACTTTTTTTGTGGCCGTCGGATCACCAATCTTTTTAACAATCGAGATTGTTGGTCAAACTCAACAGTAACAAAAGGGCAAAACCACCGACTCTTTCTTTGTCCTTTCAATGGAAGAGTTCTTAGATAATTGATATCGCTAAATGAGAAAATTAGTACAATCACCGTTTAAGTCGATGTTCATTTCACCGATTCGAATTTAAAATTCGAATTTTATTACGGTAAAAGCTCTCAGAAACAATTACATATAACTTTTTTGTTACAGTAAAAAACTCTCGCATAAAGTCACATCTCAACTCGAATTAAAAACTCAAATCAACGAACTAAACGGATCCTAAATATATTATTTTAAAATTTTTACCCTTTATGTTTATTTAATATTCTTTTGATTAATATAATTTTTTTAATTAAAAAATATTAATCAAGACAGAGTAAAATGTGAAAATTTAAGACTCATTTACTCTTTTTTTTTTTTTTATCTAAACATATTATGTTTTGAAGAGTTTAAGCATGTGTCTAGTTTTTTAATTTTTTGAAAGAGTAATGTGTACCAAACATTATGATATCTCTGTACTCTGTTTATTTTTTGTTTTCTGTGATGCGTTATGATATCTCAATTGATGTACTACGTTGTAATTGTATGGTATTAGTTGTAAACGGTCAAAATGAACGACAATTAATGTGGAAATCATAAGGGAAATGAATGCAAAAAGTGTGTGAAACGAAAGTCCACCACGTTTTTTTTTTTTTGTTTTTTTGGGGGGAAACTTTTGAGATGATCCTGACTTTCTGTTTTATTTATTATTTTCGTGTTAACACCGACACATTTCTATCCACACAAGCCTCCCAACATTGACCAATAACTTTTGCTGATTAACAAAGGGAGAAGAGAGAACATTATTAAGGATTTTGATTATGGATTTGCATTTATTAAGGATTTTCATAACAAAGAAACGTTAATCATCCAATGAGATATGTATTACTCTAAATTGAGGGATTTACTCATGATCGGTGCACTCAATTTTATGATTTTTCATAATCATAATGGGTTATTTTCTTTTATACAACACAAGATTAAACTCACAATTTCCATCATACTCCGTCCCATTCAAATCCTTGATGACATAAAATCATACGGTTTTAGGCGGATAGACCCAACAAGAATTTCCTATAAATTGAAAACAAAAAATATTATTGTAATGGGCAGCGTTTTGATTGGAGCAGTTAGTCACAAGCTAATCTTCATAATATAATCAACAATTTGCTTGTGACCATAGGAAAAAAGAGACAAGTACTGAAATTTCAGGACTTGTTATTTTAAGTGAAAAACTCAAAAAAAAAAAAAAAATCGAGTCACAACTTTATTCGAGTTCATGTTCTTTTAAGCTTAAACTCGAATTCAAACTCGAGTTCAAGTTTTCCTTTCAACTCGAGTTCAGAAACTCGAACTCAAATTAATGAATAGTATTTTTTTATTATTAAAAATGCTATAACTCTTTCGTTTTAATTCTGATTGAGATAATTTTTTTTCTATGCGTTGACAACGAAAAGACGAATAAAATCCGACCCATATACCCTATTAAAATTTTTCATCAGCATTGAGTTTTTATTAAAATACTATCTAAATACAAATTTAAGTTTTGACTCACTCAAACACAAACTCAAAAAGATTCTTATCTCAAATCATAACTCAAATGTACACAACCAAACACAAACTCAAGTTACAAGTTCAACTCAAATTATTAGATTATTGATTATTGCAATCAAATAGAGCAAAACAAACACAGAACAAACTGTTGTTATTAATATATATATATACATATATATATATATATATTGCTTCCTAATTGAATAATTGAATTCAACTTAGATTGGGACAAGCGAGAAATGAACTCATTGTAAAGACATGATTCCTCATTTAACGTACGATTGAAGAATTATCATGTAGACAGAAGACTTGATCACAAAAGGAGGTTTGTTTTTGTATCGGGACAAATTAGACCATTAAGAAAACGACCGCTCACTTCGGACAAAATCAACCATAAATACTGGAGAAACTCACATGACCATAAGGCTATCTTAACTCTTCAATGGTCATGACTGTCAATTTGTATTAGAATAATGCAATTTGATGTTTATGCATGTTTCGTTTGGCACCAAAGTTATTTGATTTTTTTTTTTAACGAGGAGGCACTGATTCTTGGTCCATTATTTTGGTTACGCTGTCCTTTTTTTTTTTTTTTTTTTCATTTACCTTCTTGTTCCTCCAATCAAAAGCTTTGTTAGACTTAATGGTCAATGTTTTTTATTGGCTGAATTTACTTTCCCAATAAATAATTACAATAATTATAATGATCAAAACAACAACAATAATAATAAAAGCAAATGCATTTCTTTAGTTACAAAGATGAAAGATGAATAATTTTTTGAGTAAGAGATTAGACATTATCTGAATCCATCTTTTTTTTTTTCTTTTTTTTTGGTTGGGAATTTGTATTCGAGTGAAAATTGCTATAACAACAAAGACGAAAGAATAGAAAACAAGTTGGTCCCTTTTATTGAATGGAGGTTGTCTGCTTGTTGAGAATCCATGTCTGGGTGTCTTTTACGGTTTAGTTCAATAATCTACCTATTACTCACATTATTTTTTGTGTCAAGTTAAAAATAAATTATTCCATCGACCAGAATTGATCCTATATAATGTTATGAGTGACTATATTTTTTTTTAAATGAGATTTTATTACGCTCGATTATCAATATGTCAAGCATGTCTTTCTGCATTGGATCTCGACAATTGTATCCATTCATGCATCTTATTAGTCTTCACTGATAAATCCAGTTTTTATTAATGGTTGAATTATCATTGTATTAATGTAATCAGTGGATAGTTTGTATCGACTTAATTCCCCATTAAAAAAATAATTATCACTTTCCTTGAATCATGACTCGTGTAACATTTTGCTTTATTTTTTTTAAAACGTAACACTCATTTTTTCCGAACTATAAATTGTTAACAAAAATGCTCATTCTGTTAGTGTTTCTGACAGAATCACCACATGTCATACAAATATTAACTGTTGCTAAATAATTTGGTGCACAATTATTCTTCTACCAATGGTTCTTAAATTTATATTTATAAAATAAATTTTAGATTTAATTTAATTTAACAATAAAATAAAATAAATAATAAAATTTAATTTTACTCTTCCAATTAAGTAATTAAATTAAATAACTTAGAAAGTTTTAATTTGTAATATTTTTCAAGAATATGTAGGATTACCAAAGTACCCCTAATTATGTAATATGATTCACTTTTCTCTTAAAAACAGATGAAAGGAGCATTTTTGTTATGATTCATAGTTTAGGGACCAAGTGTTACGTGAGTAATAATTCAAGAGAAATTCTCAAAATTAATTTAAAAAAAAAACTCCAAAAATACCAAAAGAAAAATCAATCACTCAATTATTAGGACATTCTTCAATACGCTGATATATTGATATGTTATATTTTATATCCGTTAAATTAATATAAAATTACATAAAAATAAAAAAAATACACAAATTTAACAATTAAAAAAATCTAATCTACTAATACACAAGTGTACTAAAAAATATTCTTACATGATATGCATAAAAAGTCTCTCCGTCCCTAGCAGCCTAAGATTTTCTTACCTTAATTCTCTCAATCTTTCTTAGGGCCGGCAATAGATCACGACACGACGACATGATTCGAAAACGATACGAATTTTACGTGTTAGGATTGAGAAAAAAGGTTGGACCTGCCTAACCCGAACACAATATGAAACTCGTAAAAAACTAAAAAATACATATATTTTCCATTGCATATTTTAAATTTTATTATGAACTTGTGATATCATGATAGTTATACTCAAAATCTTATACTACTATTTGCTTAATTTCAATGGATGTTATTATACTTTAGTGTGTTATGAATTTTAGGTTATTTTTAACATGTAAAAAACTAAATAAAAGTATATAATTTTCGTGTCAATTTCGGGTTCACGGGTTAATTTCGTGTCACGGGTCATTTTTGGGTTGTGTTGTATCAACTCATAAAGTGGTCGTGTCGTGTTTGTGTTGCGGTTTTTAAAAAATTTTGTGTCACAGATCGTGTTCGGATTGACTACAAATTTAGAAAGAAACGATCAAAACACGACACGTGACACGAATTGGCACTCATAATCTTTCTTTAATATATTTTTTCCTATATTTTTTTTAATAAAAAATACACTACTGTTTTCTGACAGAGACAATTCCCTCCGCGGCTTTATCTGTAGATCGAGGACTGAGCAAGTTTTCAACTTTCTTCATATACGCGGAAAAGCCCAATTTTCACTCCTCAAATCTCCATCCGGGTTGTCTAGTTTCACCCTCCATTTCCTTCCAATATTCCATCCATTGAAAATCCTTCGAAACCTGGTTTTCTTTCAGCTAAGAAAAGAAAAGATCTTCCTTTCTCTTTCCCAGCAAAAGAAAGTCTTCATTTTTTATTCTTCTCCTCCTCCTTGTTGGTTTGTGAGCGAAATTATCTGCCACCCAAGAAAGCCACGCATTAGATATTTGTAGGATTTGCGAGCGTGATTTTAGGGATGAGTCTTTGCTCTGAGACCTGCCATGTGTACAGAACAGAACACACACATATGTACAATGTATTTTTATAGTCTCTTTTTCTCTCTCTTGTGTTTGTGTTATTTTTCTATAAGATTTTATGAACTTGACTGAGAACCTGAATTTGGGTTTACTTTAGATATGTGGGTGAGTCAATAATCGATTAGCAATAATAATAGGAGAAGAGAGAGAATTATGGGATCTGGAAATGGGGTTTACTCGGTTGGAGAGTTTAGTTTAGATGCCAAGTGGTTGATCGATCCAAAACATCTTTTTGTTGGTCCGAGGATTGGGGAAGGCGCGCACGCCAAAGTGTACGAAGGAAAGTAAGTCAACCCATTCTCTCTCTCTCTCTGTTTTTTTTAATATGATCTTTGAGAAGTTCAGCTTATTTGGACATTTAACTCTGTACGGTACCTGTGGGAATTTTTGTTCTCTGGCCTACAGATAAAGTTCAGGTTTTTTTGGGTCCTCTGATCTCCGATTAATTGGGAGTTTCCAAATTAATACAAATTTCTTTTTCCACTTTTAGTCCCAACACAACTGCTATTTGTGCCTGTTAGATTTAGAACCCCCAATGTCTCAAAGTTTTGCCTTCTTTAGATTGTTGAATTTGGTTTTGAAGGGAATTGAGAATTACAAAAATTTGTAATGATCCCTTTTTTTTTTGGTTGAAAAAGTTTGTAATGCACTTGGTGTTGTGTGCTTATGGTTTATGTGATATTAATTGATGCACTTAAGATTCGGCCCCGTTCATTTCACCGATTTGAGTTTAAAATTTGAGTTTTGCTACAGCAAAAAGTTCTTAAAAACAGTCACATTTAATTTTTTTAGTACAGTAAAAAGTTATCACATAAAATCACATCTCGACTCGAATTAAAAATTCGAATAAGCGAACTAAACGGACTCCAATCTTTTGAATTATAGTTATTGGATCCGTCAATGATTGTTCTGGTATGAGTATGTTTTGTACTTTTTGGTTGTTGTCTCTTATTCTTTCTTTTACCAGATATAAGAATCAAAATGTTGCTGTTAAAATCGTTCATAAAGGAGAGACCCCGGAAGAGATTGCCCGAAGAGAAGCGCGGTTTGCAAGGGAAGTTGCAATGCTGTCCAAAGTTCAACACAAAAATTTAGTAAAGGTTTGTTTGTTCAGCAATTTCTCTCTGAAATAGTCTCCAAACTACGCGCTTCTTTCATTTGCATTTACTTAGTGGTAGCCCATGGAGTTGATGTCTTGCCATGAAGATTTTCACTTGTTGATGATCCTTATAAGCGTGATATGTGCAATATCTAAGAGGGTTTCTTGTCTGTCTCTTTTACCAGTTTATTGGAGCTTGCAAGGAACCTGTAATGGTTATAGTCACCGAACTTCTGTTAGGCGGGACGTTGCGGAAATACTTGTTGAACATGCGGCCAAGATGCTTGGACACACGTGTCGCAGTTGGATTCGCACTTGACATTGCTCGTGCAATGGAATGCTTGCACTCCCACGGGATCATTCATCGTGACCTGAAACCCGGTACGATTGTTGTATCTCTTTTAATTAGTGCTAACATATTGGTTTTAAGCTGTGGGAAAGTTAAGAACTTATATTGAGCTGCTCATGATGAGTGCTGTTTCTCAATTTTTGAGCCTGGGAAGTTTGTAGGTTTTGTCTGTTTTCTGCATTTTGAATTAGCTATTTATGCCTTCATCATTTCTATTTTATGTCTGATGGATGAATCTTTTCATTTTTTTCCCCTTTTTCCTGATTTCTGTGATGTGCCAAAAAAATCATCATCGACTTTCACTACCCATCTGCTGGCCTATCTTTTCTTTTCTGGGAGGGAAAAGATCGATAAAGAACTTATGCATCATTATGCACAAAAATGTTTTTTAGTCCATTGATATGTACATTGTAGTTTGACGAACATGTCTTGTCGAGCACATTTTAGAAGGAACTAATAAGATTAAAGAGAGTAGCTTAGCCTTTTTTTGGTCTTAAACATTACGAGACTATTGTTTTTGTCTTAGACTCACCAAATTGGTAGATATTGGTTTTTAAACATGTCGCTCTTCTACTTACAAATTGGTTGTTGCTGGCTCCCATGGGTGGTTGAAATACTGAAATGAAGGGACGGTGTTGCTATATACAGTGCATAGATTGTTTTTTAGACAGGGTTCACTTCATATTTTTGTAACTTTATCACGTGTTAACTGAGTTATTTTACTCAAATCTCTTTAAAGTAATGCATTTTAGTGTACACTTTACATTGCATCTTTTAGGAATCAGAGATTCAACTATAAATTCTGATGACTGTGTTTCGTTTACTTTTTCCAGAGAACTTGATTTTGACCGCAGATCACAAAACAGTTAAGCTTGTGGATTTTGGCTTAGCTAGAGAAGAGTCGTTGACAGAGATGATGACTGCTGAAACTGGGACTTACCGGTGGATGGCGCCAGAGGTACAATGATTCATGATTCTAATGCTGAAGTTCTCTATCTCTTTCTTAATGTCTTGCTTACGACCGATATATAACGCCATTCTTATGCTCCACTGGTGTTATTGGTGGCAGCTTTACAGCACAGTGACTTTAAGGCATGGTGAGAAGAAGCATTACAATCATAAGGTGGATGCCTACAGCTTTGCAATTGTGTTATGGGAGCTCATCCATAATAAATTGCCTTTCGAAGGCATGTCAAATCTACAAGCAGCTTATGCTGCTGCTTTTAAGGTGATAAGCTTTTTATGGAAAAAGTTGATTATGTCTTGAATATACATGTAAACAGGTTTCATAAACTAGCTCTAAAATAACTTGAAAATAGTTTTCGGCCTTAATCTTTGAACCATACTGATTGAGGAACGAAATACTACATTACTAATGAATTGCAGAGAGAAATGGAAGGGGGAATGTAGTAGAAGAAGGAATTTGTGTTGGACATTTTCAAAATTATTTACTTGCTATTACGAGAAAAAATCCACTATAGTGTCCCCCTTTTGTCTTCTTATAATTCAAGGTTGTACTTTTTGTTGTCTTAGAATGTGAGGCCTAGTGCTGAAAACCTCCCTGAGGACTTGGCGCTGATTGTGACTTCATGTTGGAAAGAGGATCCAAATGATCGACCCAACTTCAGCCAAATCATACAGATGCTACTGCACTATCTCTCCACCATTTCACCCCCAGAACCTGTAATACCGCAACGGATTTTCAAATCTGAGAACGCCGTACTGCCACCGGAGTCGCCAGGTACGAGTTCTTTGATGGCTGTTAGGGATGACGCGGGAGATACACCAAAAATCAACATGGAAGAAAAGCCAAAAGGTTTCTTCTTCTGCTTTAACCAGTGTTACTAATCCCTCGAAAGGGCACAATTCCGCCTCCGAGGTTCTCCAAAATAACAACTATGACACCCAATAAGCAATACCCTCTGTAAAAATGCATCTTTGCAACAAGATGTTTCTTTGATTTAGTCATTTGAGCGCCCACAAGAAGCTGCTTTGTTGTCTCATGTTACTTTCAAATTTATGTACTCTTCTCACATTAGCTTTAGTTTTAGAGTCCTGGAGTTGTGGTTGCTGTGATGTAATAACATTTGTAAAATAAGGTCCATCCAAAAGCCTTTACTCCCTCTGTTACAAACTGACTGAACCCTTATTCTATCAAAATTTAAAAAAAAAAAAAAAAAAAGTTGATACGACTATGCAATCTTCTCTAAGGCCATTTGTTCTGCAAGGCACCTAAAGATCTAAAGAGACCAAGTTAATCAAAAAAATCAGCAGCACTTTAGTTGACTTGACGTGAAAAGATGCATTTTGATCCGACACACACAACTATTACACCAAACACATCTCACCTTTTTCAACCACCCAAGAGCCGCAAAATATGACATTAAGAAATCACCTTGAATAAATCAAAGCTTTCTTTGACTAATATTACTCTTTTGGACTCTCTGTAAGTAACTATTCTAGCGTTATAATCATGTCGAGGCACAAACACAATCTAAAAACTTGCTATGGGCAACGTTGTGATGATGATGTTGTTTGCCATTATGCATGTATTTGTTGTAGCGAGAGCAAATGAGCCTTCCTTTCCATCTCCCTCAGCTAGCCCTCCTCTTTCCACTCTCTTCAACTCTCTTTTTTTCTGTTGATGATTCCGCAATTTCGGAAACCATAATGAACAAAAGATTTCAGATGTGCCTATCCATCACCGGGATTAGCTGCAGCGGAATTATTGAATTCCCTGTAGTGTTCTTGGAGTGTCTTGCTGTAAGTACTACTTTTTGGGGCGAAATGTCTTGCTGTAAGTACTACTTTTTGTGCCGAAATGTTCCTTCGCGACGTCCATGATCGCGCTCTTGATTGCACTAACAAGTCCATGGAAACCAGCTCTGAATATGGTAACGAACATTATACATCCCTCTCTAAGTTCTTTCCGTCACACTCGTATGATACAGAAGCACGTACAACAAAAAATAAAATCCATATGGTAGCATATTTTATACGTTCAGATCTTCTCCGTGGGTTTACAATTTCAAATTCCAGTTTGATGAAGTTGGGAATTGGGATCTAATTCTGTGGAAGAATTCTATACAAAATGCGAGCATATATATATTTTTTTGTATAGTTAACAGATTATTTCTCTGTACCTGCACGCGTGAAACAGATTGAAACACTGTGGGAGACCGTATTGCAGCAGGCCACAATAGTTGCAAGAAGATTATTAAATAGTTGCTTTCTATATTAGACACCACAACAACAACAACAAAAAAAAAAAAACCCCCTTAATTTTTCAACAGTTGTAAAAGCATACTATCAGATTGCGTTTAATCAGAAAACACACATTTGCTCGTTCAGTAGACAAACCAATTAACTATTAAGTAATAACAATATTCACTACAACAATTGAAATGTAAAACTGATTAATGATAACTTAGAAAATTACCACACTTTTTAGTCAAACGTTGAATTATATTCTTCCTAAAGTCCTATGTTAGAAAGAGATTTGTAAAGCGCGGAACTCTCTTAGCTTTAAACAGAAGGAAGAGCAGGAATTTGTGTAGGCCAAGGAGGATGCACAAGAGGGAAGTTTTGTATCCGCGAGATGTTCATCTTAGTCTTTACAAAATGTGGAAACTCCCTAACAATTTCATACTCGCCTACACCAACCTCGTAATAAGTCGTATCGGCAAATTACATTCGTTCTTAACATGAAAATCACATCGCTATTGTACGGATGGAAAGCAATGAAGTGCATCCAATTCGTGTCGAGCCTAAGATCGTGCACCAAAATCCATGATGATGAGTTATTCTCATCTCATCCTTATTGTGATCAGTGGCGGAACCACTTGAAGATGAGCCGGGGCAACTGTCCCCACTTAATTTTTTTTTTAAAAAATATTACTTTTAAAAATTTTAAAATTTTACATTTAACCTCCCATTGAAATAATATGTGCCCGTCCACTAAAATAAATATATTTTCTTATATGCTCCCACTAAGACATTTGTTAAAAAAATTTAATATACGTCCCACTAAAGTGAAAGGCCGGCTCTGACACTGATTGTGACAGTATGATCAGTCTTCCCCGGACCGCTTCAAGATGCACGTAATCCTCGTTAGCACGACAGGCAATTTGATGAAACGGCATAGCTTATCCTTGTCGTCGTTGAATGGATCGAATGCAGCTATTCCTATGCACTCTTTTTGTCTCCCTAGTAGCCAGTATATAACTCTGTTGCATGCAGTAATAATTTTTTATTTATTTATAAAATCTCCAAACAGCAACCCTTGGCAGCTAGCAAGAAGGTCGATACGTTCCATTGCCCGGTCTCGGAAGAAAATGTTGCAGCTTTGTAAACAAAGAGGCCCTCATTATGAATAATTGAACGATCATTAATGTGAAATATCACTGCCCTATACCTAGCAACATTTATGGTGGTCTGGCACACTAATCTGCACACCCGCAGTAGCGTAAATCGATTGGGGGAGGATCCAGAAGAGCGAGGCATTGTTTAGTCAGCGGATTGCAGATATATATAGTAGCCGCTATGATATTTGGTTGAGACGAGCAACAAATCGTAGAAAGACGACAAGATAATTTGATCATTCGGGGTTGGAATAAAACCTAGATAATTGTAACTACTAATATCAGAAGACATGTTGTTGGATTCCCGCGGAGGGTGTTTGATTTCTCAAAAAACCATTGGCAGAATGTAAATTTACTAATAAAATTTTCCATAGAATGTCTTTTATTTTTCTACAATAGAATATAAAATGCAGAAGACATGTTGTTGGATTCCCGCGGAGGGTGTTTGATTTCTCAAAAAACCATTGGCAGAATGTAAATTTACTATTAAAATTTTCCATAGAATGTCTTTTATTTTTCTACAATAGAATATAAAATTAAATTTTCTTTATATATAAGAAAAAGCTTCATGCCTAAAGCTTTGAAAAAAAAAAACAAAAAAACAGCGCAAGGCATACCGTCAGATTGCATTTAATAAGAAAATTTACTCATTTGCTCTTTCAATAGTCAAACCAATTAAATATTAAGTAATAAAAATATTCATCATCCACTGAACAAAATAACAATATTCACTATATATAACAATTGAAATGTAAAACTGATTACTGATAGAACTTAGAAAATTAACATATATATGAAAAACATTTGCTCAAAAACATTGAATAATGTCCTAATTAAAGTCATATATAAAGAGATTTTGTAAACCAAGGGTTCTCTAAACAGAAGGAAGAGCTGGAATTCGTGTAGGCCAAGGAGGATGCACTAGAGGGACGGTTTGTACTGCAGGCCAGGGGTTACGATCATTCTTTACAGAATCTGGAAACTCCCCAACCTTTTCATACTCACCCACCCCAATCTCATACCGACAAATTACATTTTTCCTTAACAAGAAAATCACATCGCTATTGTACGGATGGAAAGCACTGAAGTGCATCATATTTTTGTCCCCCTTATTAAGCCTAACCCCGTGCACCAATATCCATGATGTGTTTGACAATGACGATGACGACGCGATATTATTCTCACCCGACGTATTGTTATCATTATGATTCAATTCCCAAATTTTGAGAACATACCCATACCTCTTTATCATGAACAACTGTAACAGCCTCAGTTTTCCCCGGACCACCCCAAGATGCACGTAATCCTCTCTAGCACACCAACCACGACTGAAGTTAACAGGCAATTCGATGGAACGACACTGCTTATCCTTGTCCTCAGTGAACGGATCGAATGCAGCGATTTGTTTGTACTCAGGTTCCCCTTGTGGCCAGTATATAACTCCATTGCTCGCCGCAACGATTTTTTTAAAATTTGGCCCACCAGTACTAATCCCGGGGAACGTTAAGGTCGATTTGTTCCATTGCCCAGTCTCGGAAGAAAATATTGCAGCTCTTTCAACAAACGGACTCCCATTAGCAACTGAAAAATCACTGTAAATTTTCATTACCCTGTACCTAGCAACAACATTAATGGTATTGGTCTGGCACACCAATCCGTACGCAAAGTTCCTGAATTTGTCCTGGGGAGGATCCGGAAGCTCAATACATTGCTTGGTCAGCGGATTGCAGACGTAGAATCCACTGCAGTCTAATTTGGTTGAGACAAGCAACAAATCGTCGAAGTATGACAAGATATATTGCTTATTAGGGTTTGGAATAAAATTTAGATACTGGTAATTACTAGTACCAGATGACGATATTTTTGGATTCCCGTGGAGGGTTTTTGATTTCTCGGAAAACCATTGGCAAAATGCAATGCTTCTCCTGTATAATGAGCCCGATAACCAAACAGTGTAACATCCAAACACAAACGTATAGGCGGAGTCATACTGAGTAAGTTGGTGGCGATGGTGATTAATGAAGCTGGGGATGAAGGAGGAATGCAGAATCAGAGAGGACCAGCGCATGCAGACGGCACTGCATTGGATTGCGGTTCGGCAATCGGGAAGTCGGACTAATATCTCCAGCAATAAATGGTCTGTGGCGGTACTGGATATGAATTTGGATGCTGCAGATTCACCATCATCAGTCTTGCTTCTTTTCCTAATTATTTCCATGTTACTAGCCCCTGGTATGAATTAAAGTATGAAATGGTGATGGCTACCTTCGAGTTTTCAACCGACTCTTCTATGTAGTCTCTGAACGTTCTTATTATATATGTGTGTATATATATGTGTGATAGAGGGGGGATTGAGCATAAGGTGGCGTCAAACCCTAACTAATAAGGTTTCGAGGATAGGGAAGGGAAAGTCTTCGCCACGTATTTTTCTTACGATTATCACACTCAAATTTTTTTTTTTTTAAATTATAAAAACACCCTTTGATCTAAATATTTTAGGTCAAACACCCTTGAAAAAGAGCGAACCAAAAATACCACTAAAATAGTGTTAACTAACAGTCTAACATTTGTGCCATGTAAGTGGTATAATAAAGACATGTCTTTTATTAAATCAGTAAAAAATAATTTTAAGTGGTACAAACTTATTTTTAGAATGACACAAATATTAAAAAATTGTGCAAAACAATGGCAAACATATACTTTTCTCTATTAAAAAATGAGCAATTAGTATTGTTGGCCCATGAAATTAAACTATAAGGACTATGTCACTGGTCACTATTATTTATTTAGTAAAGGAGTTTAAACTTATATTCAAACGGTTTTATTACAGTATTTTTTCTCGTTAAAATTTGAATTTGAATCTAATTTGAACCAATAAACCAAAGGGCCTAAAAATTTGTTTCTTGACAGATCATTTTTTGAACGGAAATGTTCAAAATGCCATAAAAATAGCACTATTTTATTTTTGCCATCAATTTTAAATTGTCATTTTATGCCAAGGAATCACGATCATGGAAGAGAGAGAGAGAGAGAGAGAGAGAGAGAGAGAGAGAGAGAGAGAGAGAGAGAGAGAGAGAGAGAGAGAGAGAGAGAGAGAGAGAGAGAGAGATGTGCTTCATGGCTACGAAATCTAGAGAGAGGAAGAGAGATCAAGAGAGAGAGAGAGAGAGAGAGAGAGAGAGAGAGAAATTGAGAAAAAAAAGTGCATCAACATGTTTTAATGGCATAAATAATATGAGGGTTGAATGTTGATTTTTTAACAATTTTAATTGATGACATGACTAAAATTAATAAATAACTTCTAAATATCACAAAAATGATCATGCCTCACTCGCAAAATAACTATAATTTTTATGTACATAGTTATACAAATGTAAAATATTATCTTCAGTTGTTTCTAAAAAATCATAAAACACTTTGTTGACAAGATTTGAACCATAATTGTCTTTAGGTGTATGAAAGCTCGGAAAACGTTCTGGCTGATGCAGTATAATTATGATGTACTAATTTTTGAACTTTTTATATGAACACTGTATGCAACACCCTAAAATTTGTTGGGTTTGAATTAAAAATATCAGCAGCACTTTAGCTGACTTAACATGAAAGGTGCACTTTTGATCCGAGACAGACGCATCTCTCTTTTAAAAACTACCCAAGAGCCGCAAAAGATGACATTAAGAAAAGGTCACCTTGAAATAAATATCAAACTTTTCTTTGACTAATATTGCTCTTCTGGACTCTCCACAACTAGCCTTGCGTTATAATCATTTGGAGGCACAAATTAAACACAATCTGTTTTATTATTTTGATTCAACTTCAACTAGCCTCGAAACTTGGCACGGGCAATATTAGTCCTAGTGAAAGCAAATGATCAGCCTTTTTCCTGTTGATGATTCCGCAATCTCAGAAGAAGCCATAACGAATAAGAACCCGTTTAGTTTGTTAATTTGAATTTTAATTTAAGTTGAGATGTGATTTTATGTGAGAGCTTTTTACTGTAGTAAATTTTAATTTAAGTTGAGATGTGACTTTATGTGAGAGCTTTTTACTGTAGTAAAAAAATTAGACGTGACTGTTTCTGAGAGTTTTTTACTATAATAAAACTCGAATTGGTGAAATGAATGAGACCTAAAAAATTCAGATATGCCTATCTATCACAAGGATTAGCAGCAGCGCATTTATTCAATTACCTGTGGTGTTCTTGGAGAGTCTTTCTGTTAAGTACAAATTTTTGCGCAGAAATGTTCCTTCACGTTGCACATGATTGCTCTTGATTGCTGCGGCATGTACATGAAGATCAACTCTGAATATGGTAACAAACATTAGCTCCCTCTGTCTCTCACACTCGAATAATACAGACGCACGTGCATCAAAACATGATAAAATCCACAAGGTAGCATATTTAGAGCCCGTTTAGTTCGTTAATTTGAGTTGATATGTGACTTTATATGAGAATTTTTTACTGTAACAAAAAAGTTAAATGTGACTGTTTCTGAGAGTTTTTTACTGTAACAAAACTCGAATTCTAAACTCGAATCAGTTAAATCAACGAGACCTTATGTGTTTCAATTTTCTCTGTGGGCTTGCAATTCCAAATTCTAGTTTGATGAAGTTGGGAGTTGGGATGTCTTCCGTGGAAGAATTTTGTGTAGAATGAGAGCATGTATAAATATATAGTTATATATGTGGGACGGGCAAGTATTTAGGGATTGTTCTTTTGAAGTGTGATTTGAGTGTAATTTTTAAGTTGAATTTGAGTTATAACTCGAGTTAAAGTTGTAACTTGAATAAAGTTGAGTAAAGTTGAATAAAGTTAAAACTTAAAAGAACGTGAACTTAAATAAAGTTGTAACTTGAGTTCAAACTTTTTTTGAGTTTTATTACAAAAGAACAACCCTTTAAGGACCCATTTACTTCGCTGATTTGAGTTTAGAATTTGAGTTTTTTTACAGTAAAAAGCTCTCACAAACAATCACATCTAACTTTTTTGCTACAGTAAAAAGCTCTCACATAAAATCATATCTAAACTCGAATCAGCGAAGTGAACGGAAATTTGCCCACCAAACCCGAAAAATTTAGAGTCCGTTTGGTTCATGGATTAAAATCATGAGATTAAAACTATTTTTGATTTACGTGTGTTTTTTGTAAAAAAAAATATTATAACGAACCATGAATCATGATTCGAATCAGATAACGAATCTTTCAACCAAACAGACTCTTAGATTTCGGACCGGCTTGCCGACCCAAAATTCTAATACTAGTTGATGCCTTTGATTAGTGAAAGTACATATTTTTTTTAAAAATTTCTAGGTCCGACAATCGCCACTAAGCGGGAGTAAATTTCCGAATTACCTTTCTGAGGCGACAAACTGCAGTTAAAGTCGGGTGTACACGTGGCACATTAAGATAGAACAACAGTCAGGGGTAAAAGTGCTAATACGAGAAGTCACTGTGGGTTTCCATATATAGCTTGGGGAGCAAGATTATCCATGTCCCTACAGCAAAAATTACCACAATGCCACTTTACTCGGTTTCCGAACCTTCTGCTTTGGACATCTCCGAAGCCCAGGGTCGGTCAACGGTGGGCCATGATTGACGAATGACAACAGGTTCTGGCCTCGTTAAGACAAAGATTCTGGTTTCCGAACCTGAGGTTCTGCATCCGAGCCTCTCAAACGGATACAAAGCCTTGTTTTCCCGCTTACACACAGTCTTTCTGTCACTTCACTTTAGCTTATTCTAGTGGAGAAACCGGAGAGAAGCTCTCACAAAACCGGAGAGAACCCCTCTTCTTCTTCTTCTTCTTCTTCTTCTTCTCACGCTCAGAGTTTTTGAATGTGTTTAACAAATTCACGACCTAATGTCTCGGAGAATGGAAAGGTAAGAGCTTTCAGAGCAAGAGAAAACAAAATCTAAACTTGTTTAAAAACAAACAACCAAAAAAAAAAAAAAAAAAGAGGAAGAAGAACAAACAGTTTCTAAGGGGAAAAATCCCTATTTTATGAGTGTATTTTAGTAGGGTTTTGGTAAATTTCTGTATTGAGCTTCTTCGACCTAAATATTTGTTGGGTCTGGTTGGGGTTTTTTTTTCGTTGTATAAATGATGAAGAGTTTTGGCCTTTTGGGCTGGTTTTGTATTTGCTTTTTTCATTATCAAGCTTCGAGATTTTTGGAGTGATAATTTATAAGGTTTTGTTTAACCCGGAGAAAGATTAGGGCTTTGCGTGGGTTTCTGATTTGTGGGAGTAATTTGGGGCAAAATGCTCAAATGGGGTTGCACTTTCTTGTGTCGGAAGCTTTAAGATGAGGCATAAGTTCTAATTTTTCGGTTTCAGATGCACATTTTCTGTCATATCTTTCTTTAGCCCTAATATTGAAATGGAATGTGTGATGATCCAATGATATGGGAAATTCTACTAAAATTACTTTAGTTGAGATTGTAGACTGTCTTTTCTCTGCTATGCATTGTGGGGACCATTCAGTGAATAGTAGATGATCATAATTCTTGCTCAACTTGAGGACTGAAAATTTCCTTGAAATAATACTTGTAATCCAAAATAGACTCCATGGTTTTATGTCTTCTTTAGTTCTTTTCTTGGAGGATTCTATCGACTTCCTTATGTAGAGTTTTATTTTTCTTCAGAAGCATAGTGAACTTAACCCAAAACGTAAGCTCAAGCTTTTTTAAAAATCAGTATAAAGCCACTCTTTTTTTTTTTAGGATGAAACTTTTAGCTTGCGTTTAATGTGTGTGATGATTTTCAATTGTAATTAAATGTTTCAAAACTTATCATTAGTCAATACGTTATATTTCTGCTGATGTGTGGTGTTGTTTGGTATTTATATCTTCAGTTTGATTGTTAGTTTCTTTTGGTTGTTACTTTTTTGGTGCATATTTTTGTAACTTCTCATTATGTTCCTTGGAAATAAGTTTATTAATTCAGGCTTAATTAAATCATGGGTGCAGAAGTTGGCTTATTAACAGCAGAGGACTTGCAAAGAAAGTGAAAAATGCTGCTTGTTCTCCTTCTTATCAAATAAAAGACTGTGGAGCAAGTCGTGAATGCCCAAATTGCCATTGTCGTATTGACAACAGTGATGTAAGCTGAACACTGTCACTAATGTATATATAAGCTACAAAATTTGATTTTTTACTCCTTGTTCTCTCCTAGTGCAAATGATGATGTTAAATTATCATTTGTTTGCCTTTCTTAAAATTCACATCAGTCTTTGGTTTGGATGCAAACTATATTTGCGTTTATCCAGTCAAAATTTGGTATGGATATGATTGGCTATATACAAATTTCTTTTGACAACGTATCTTGTGCACTTTCTCTTGTGCAGGTTTCTCCTGAGTGGCCTGGGCTGCCAGCTGGTGTAAAGTTTGAACCCTCTGATGAAGAACTTGTTGTGCACTTAGCAGCAAAATGTGATTCTGATAGCATAAAGCCACACATGTTTATTGATGAATTTATTCCCACACTTGAAGGGGAAGGAATTTACTGCGACCATCCAGAAAATCTGCCCGGTAAGTCTCCACATTTCACTCATTGTAGTGTGTCCACAAATACATAATTGGGCTTTTCCAGTACTCCCGCACCAATGTTTGAGTTTGTTGACACGCATTTGCATTGCCATGCTACAATTGAATATTAGATTTCTTGATACACGTGTTGTTAGTCACTCTTTTGTCAAATCTAGTGAGAGACCTGATGAATTTTTTGTTGCGGCTACAGTTGATCTCATTTTGTGAGACAATATTTCCTCAGTTTGATTATTAGTGATCCGTGGACAAAATAGATGAAGTTTTCTGCAGCTGTGAATTAACTTATTCGTGCTTTTATATAGATCAAATTACCTGATTTCATTTCAGGTGCTAAGAAAGATGGAAGCAGCATTCATTTCTTTCACAAGATAATCAATGCTTATGCTACTGGTCAGCGAAAGCGCCGCAAGGTCCAAAATCATGGTTCTACAGCAGAGCAAGTCCGCTGGCACAAAACTGGCAAGAGTCGACCTGTAATTGAAAATGGACTTCAGAAGGGTTGGAGGAAGATTATGGTTCTCTATGAAACCTCCAAGAAGGGCTCCAAGCCAGATAAAACCAAATGGGTCATGCATCAATACCATCTTGGAACTGAGGAAGATGAGAAGGAAGGTGAATATGTTGTTTCAAAGATCTACTACAAGCAGCCAAAGCAGCCTGAAATCTATGATAACAATAGTAACTGTCATCTGATTGAAGAATCCGACACCAAGGCACTTCAAACTAGTCCCATGACCCCAAATTCAAATCCTCCTATCCCACCTCGACACGGGAAGTCTATATTAACTGATGACATTGCTGACAATACTCTTCCCCAGTCATCTTCCAAGGTTAGGCACCTTTTTTAGCTTGTATTGTTGCATGAGGCTTTTATATATACTATTGGTCAACTGTTTAGCTTGCGAAGCCATCAGAAATGGACAAAAAAGAAGAGAAGACTAAAATAATTTCAAAACGTTTGCTTTGTAATCCCCAAAATATTGTTGTTTGTTTCATTAGCTGATCTTTGTTATTAACTTTTTGTTACAGGAAGAGGAAGGAGGGCGTACGCAGGAAGCACTTCTAGACCCTCAAACGAATAATATTGAGGCTGAGGAAGCACTTCTAGACCCTCAAACGAATAAGGAAGCACTTCTAGACCCTCAAACGAATAATATTGAGGCTGAGGAAGCACTTCTAGACCCTCAAACGAATAAGGAAGCACTTCTAGACCCTCAAACGAATAATATTGAGGCTGAGGAAGCACTTCTAGACCCTCAAACGAATAATGTTGAGGCTGAGGATGACATGGGGTACCCTGCATGGCTGGCAGGCGAATCTCAAGCCATCGATAACTCTGGTTTAAATAGCATTGATGATTCCTTGTTATGCAAGGAAAGATTAGATTCAGGATGTAATTATATATCTAACACTGACTTTACTGGAAATAACAAATCCACTGGAGAAAATATTGCGCCATGTGGTATCTCTGACCTTGAAAACCTTGAACTTGATACTCCTCCGGATTTCCACCTTCCTGTAAGATTTCCCTAATAGCCTTCTTCTTATGTTTTGTTTGGTTTCCACATATATAGTTGTGCATAATGGCCTAAAACTCCTTTTTTTCTCTCATACAGGATTTGCAGTTTTGTTCCCAAGAAAGTATACTTGATTGGTTAGACAGGTTCTGAAGCGTGGTTTATGGGACAAATACTTGAGGAATAACATTGAATTCCGACTTTAAGACTAACCAATCTCCATTTCCTTCTCTGCAAGTTCTCTGAGCTCTAGGAACGCTTTAAGGTTTTCTAAGCCATGGGATTGTTGGTTAAAACTGATCAGCTGAGATTGAGCAAGCAGATAGGAAAGCCTTTATACCTATAAATATATATATATATATATATGTATAATATATATTATATGTTCAGTTTTTCACCATGACTCGTCTTGGTTTAACGCACATTTGGCTTATTTTATTAGTTGTTAAATAATGCGTACTTGTGTTTGAGAATTATTAATGTCTGAGATGTGCTTGACGGGGATTCAAATGTTGGTTTTGCAAAATGGTACGTGAAAACAATGGTTGAATCTTCTGATATGGTACATGTATTATGTATGTTGTGACTGCGTTTATTTGTTGTTGTGTTGCATATATATAAATGGATTCGTATTAGAATTCCGAAGGAAAAAATTTGCCAGCATATGTTTTTCTTGTATCTGCAAGACGAAAAAGAGTATGTCGTTTGTAGTATAAATAAACGACATGTCGTTTTCTAGCCTAAAGGTAGCAAGTAACGTGTAGCTTTACAAACTTTAAGACATGTCCAGAAAACGAAAGCAAACTTTCAGGCAGCAAATGCAATCTCATTTTCACTTCAAAAGATAAATTTTAAATGCAAGTAATCATTTCAATTGAGAAAATAAACGACATCATATTTTACAGAAAAAGGGGACAGCAAGTTGTAATGGGTAGGTGATATAGTTGTAAGGTAAACGACAAACTTTAATCAGTAAGGCAGAGAAAGTTGTCTTATCCATTCGAAACTACTGTAGTTTACAATACGACATCCGTTCTGCGTAAGTGCTAAAATAATTTCTTAAGCACAAGTCGCTTGTAATTTGATGTCGATTAATCTGCAAAACGACATATTTTTCAGCAACTAGAAGTTTGCGGTCGTTTAATGTAGAAAACGACATGTCAAATGTAGTCTTTTTGGGTTTTTTTAAAAGAAAATTGCAGTTTGAAAGTGTGTTGTCGTTTAACTGTCAAACGACATAATGGATATGTGCAGCCTCCCAAACATAAAACGATATGTCGTTTTCAGAGCCCTTTTCCCAATTTTCATTGGACTAAAATGTTCATGAGATTGCTACTCCAAAAAAAAAAAAAAAAAAAAAAAAAAGTTCATGAGATTGGTAAATAAATTATAACCGAGGCCATTTTGGTCAAGAAAAGCCTTCCTGCCCCAAAACCTAAAACCCTGAGAAAATCTTAAAATCCTGTCAAGAAGATTGTGTCTGCTTTAATGGACTAAGAAGAAGAAGAAGAAGAAAAGCAATTTCTTTGCTTGCACTCGCTCAGAGTCAGAACCATCTCCTAATTTCATCAACAAATTCAAATGTTCGCTTCTAGGAACCTCCACAGGCATAGCTTCAAGTCCCTCTCTTCTCTATTCCATTCCGCTTCTTCTAAGTATGCTCTCTCTCTCTCTCTCTCTGTTTCGTCTGAGAATTGCTGCGAATCCATTTACTTCGGGATTATCCGATTAGCACCTTGATACTGAATCATTTCCGATTGAAATTATGTTTTTTTTTGGGGAATTTTTTGCATTTTATTGTTATTTAAAATCTGCTTCTTTGGTGTTACCATACTCTCTTTCCACATTTTCTGAGCATCCAAACATGTTAATTGCTTAATTGGGGGATTTCTTAAGTTTCTCGAATTTTTTCTCATAAAGTTCGGGTATGATTTGTTAGAACTATATCAGTTTCAAGAGATTTTTCTGCGAAGATTATTTCAAGCAATGTGGTTCAACCAAGTAAACCTAGAGAAGATGGCTTATTATTTTCTTCTTCTTCGTCGTCGTCATCTGCAATGGTCAATCCCTTCGATGTGCGACACCGATCAATGTCGACGGCGAGAGGGGGAAGCATGCGGAGCAAGGTGGAGAAGCGGATGAAGAAAGAGTCTGGTAAAACCCTCAGAGAGATTCGGAGAGCCAAAAAGATTCAGAAGAAGTTGATGACTGAAAGTGAGAGGCTAATTTACAACCTCAAAAGAGTATGTCACTTTGCCTTGGATTTAATGTGAAGGTTCTTGTTTCTCTAATTGTGGCTAATAATGCTTTGCTTAACAATGTTAAGTATCTTAGGATATAATTCTTGGTATTTTTTCATTTTCAATGGATATCATAAGATATAAGCTCTTAATTCTTAGCGTTTAGAGAGGTAAGATCTTCGAAATCCGGTTTGTTTACTTCGTTTGCACATTTTATAACATGTTAATTGTTATGATAATTTACTGTTTGAAATTTTATAACAATCTACATTTGTTTCCCAAAGTTCAGGTGATTGGGATGTTCTGGCTTAAGTATAACATAATTTTGTTGACTTATGCAATTATTGGATAAGCATTTTTACACTTTCACTAATGCAGGCTAAGAAGAAAGTAGCATTGCTCCTACAAAAGCTGAAAAAATATGAGCTTCCAGAGCTGCCACAGCCTAGGCATGATCCTGAGCTATTGACGCAGGAGCAGCTTCAGGCATATAAGAAGATTGGGTTCAAAAATAAGAATTATGTTCCTGTTGGAGTTCGTGGAGTTTTCGGAGGGGTTGTGCAAAATATGCATCTACACTGGAAGTTTCATGAGACCGTGCAAGTTTGTTGTGATAACTTTCCCAAAGAAAAGATCAAGGAAATGGCGACTATGATTGCCCGGTTGAGTGGTGGAATTGTGATAAACATACATAATGTCAAAACAATCATCATGTTCCGTGGTCGAAATTATCGGCAACCAAAGAATTTGATACCCATCAACACGCTCACAAAAAGAAAGGTGGGTGGAGTAGGCATATACTTGTTCCTTGATATTATCCATTTTTGAATGAGTTGCATAAACCAGCAAAGTATAGAACTCTGTGAGTAATCTTCATTTCCCAAAGTTGTTCTCTGCTTCTTTTTTTCTTTTGTAACTCAATACTCTTCAGCCAAAAAATACTGATGATTGTTAAGAAGTGGAAAATCATCCATGGTTTTAGGGATTTACTGTATGCATGTTTTTTCTTTATTGGGATATAGGCTTGGTTGCTCCTGAATCTTGCCATATATATTTAAGCTCTTCAGATACGTGAGTTAATAAAAATTGCAGGAACCAAGGGAGTTAGCAAATATGTTTAAACTTATGCTTCTTTTATGCAGGCGTTATTCAAGGCCAGATTTGAACAAGCTCTTGAATCTCAAAAGCTAAACATAAAGAAGTTTGAGCAACAACTTCGCCGAAGTGGTATAAATCCTGAGGATCCAGTAGCAACTGCCAGCATTCAGAGAGTAGCGTCCTCATTCTTTAATGCAATTGACAAGAAGGAAGGAACCCCATATGTTTTTCGTGAAGATAAGCTGTCGGCAACAGAGCCTAATAATATTTTTGAGCCGACAGAACCTTCTGATGAAAAGGAGCAGGAGGAGTTGGACAAGTTTATAGCTGAGATAGAAGATGCTGCAGAACGAGAATGGGCTGCGGAGGAGGCAGCAGAGAAAGAAGACTTTGGAAGAATTAGGTATCTGAACAGAGAAGAGTTTGGTGGGAGATTCCGAAGATCTGAAACATTTAGAGATGATGGCTCCGATGGTGAGATCAATAGGTCTAGAAGTTGGAAAGATACACGGGGTGAACAGAGGACTTATGAAAGTGATGATGATGACGAAGTTGATGCTTCTGAGGCTGATGATGAATGGCAATCTCACAATGCTAGGGATGCTGGCAATTTCGATAGTGGTAGTGATGACTCTGATGAAAATGAGAAGTTCAAGGCCCCTAGCCGAAACAGGGGAAGGCAGGAAAATTTCGGCAGGGCCAGATATAATGATGGGTATAAAAGAAATTCTTCCATGAACTTCAGAAGAAGCATTGTTGAAGAGGAATCTGAAACAGAAAATGTGTTAGGTAATCTCGAAAACGCAATGTGGCAATCAGATTCTGAGGAGAAGCACAATCCAAGCGCATCAAGACCGATGAATTATGAGTACAGGAGTGACAGTGATGAGGAGGACTCATATGACCTAAAGGGAGGGAAGGGTGGAAAAATTACTCATGAGTACAGGAGTGACACTGATGATTCTGAGGGAGAATCACAAGCATCAAGATTCGGAAAATACAATTACCGGAGCAGCGGTGATGAAGAAGAGAAGTATCAAGTGAAAAGGGCTGCTAGGAACGAGTCTGATATAAGAAGAACAAGAACAACAAAACAGATGGACGAGGATTGGGACAGTGATTGACTTGTTAGAAATTCCTTTTTGACACAGTTCTTTTTCCTGTCTCAGTCAAAACCACTCGTGGGCTTTTTTGCCTTTGGACATGGCATGATTATGAAGTGCTTTCATTTGCCATTGCAATTCATGGGATATTCATTCAGAAAACTATTTTGTTGAATATGTGGTGAATTTGGGATGCGGGATATAAAAAGTCTAAAAAGAACTGAAATTTAAACGTTGGTGGGCATTCACGTGTTTCCTAATAACTGGACTCGTTTGCATGGATGATATTGTTGAGAATAGTATCCTAAAAGCATGTAATAGAATATTTATTATTTAATTAATAAAAGAGTTTATTCATTATTTTGTGTGCATATATTTATGAATATCAAATGAAAATTTTGTGATTATTTATATAACCTTAAACATTGTATATAAGTGTTCTATACGAGAGGATAATGTTTAAGGATAATAATAAAAAACGTTGTTCATAATGAATTTAATTAAAGTTCGGAATCTTTAATTAAAACATTATTAATACATGTCATTTCCATTTAGAATGGAACGGTGCTATCCGCATTGTTAATATGGTGAGATATTGAATGAGTGTATTTCGCATAATGAGATTGTGTGGAACAGGGACATAGACACAATATGAATTTCTAATAATTTCTGTTAAGCATAGAAATTCTAATTGAGTCTATCGATGGTCATATATAGAATGATCTTAATCTTGAGTTCTTAACAAACTCCTATTTATGGATTTGTGTTTTTTTATTTACTCAGTACGGATTTGAGACCCTGAATCATATTCCTTGTATTTTGAAGACATGATGAAGTAGGTAGCCGGGAATGTTATTATACGAGATGGAATCCATTCCTTCTTGAGAAAGAAGTAGATAAATAATTCTCTTGAGTGTTGATTTGGTACTTGGATTAGTAAAAGCGCTCTGGTTCATGAATGTGTTTTATAAATCACTATCCATTAGAGAATCAATGGTACTCAAGGATGAAGATATAATTAGAGAGGTTAATGGATTCTACCTGGCTCTAATTATGAATTATTTATAGAGGATTAATCTATATGCAATGACTATATCAAATGGACACTTCACAGTTTAGAAGTAATTAATGTCTATAATTTCGAGAGTTCAATTCCAAGCTTATAGTGGAGTAACTATTGGAATTAATATAATTAATTAATTAATTAAAGTGTTTAATTAATTATTAATTTTATTGGAGCTCGGGATTATAGGTAAAAAAAAAAATTTGAATTTGAATCATGAACATAATTTAAATTTATCATTTTAAACTTATTTGATAACTTGTTTAATTTAGAATTCAAATTAATTTAAGTTTGACTTAAATTTGAATTTGAATTTGAATTAAAATTGGAAATGATGATTTTCTCTTCCTTCCCTATCTGCAATTGGCACCACACACAGGGATAGGAAACCCTAGGGTTGGCCGGCCATAAGGAGATAAGAGAGAGGAGAATTTTTGTTCGAAATTCAAATAGGAGATAGAGATTTGATTCCTTCTAGAAGTTTGACTTCTACTTTATAAATAAGATATGATAAAAAATTACGCGTGACAATTTTATAACCTAACTTGAGGGGGCTGGCCGAATTCCCATAATAGAGAGAGAAGGAAAAAATTTTCTCTAAAAAATTTCACATCGTGCATGCGTTGGTGTTTGTGGAAAATTCGAGTGTTTGATCAAACCTATTTTAGTCTCGAGTGTGCCCACACACACGTCTACATAGATTCAAGGAATTGACGTGGAAGACTTTGGTTTTCTAAACACAAGGCTCTGGAGCAAGGATCGTTCGTAGTCAAAGAACACAAGTTATCATCCGAGTCGGTCTCCAGGTATTTTTTCTAATTGAGTTCTTGATATATAAATTAATGTGATTAATTTATTCCTGCATAAATTAATATAATCTATAGAGTATCTCAAAAGTTTTATGAAAATTTTTGTTATACTTGATCTACTCTCCCGCCACGCTTCCGCATCCGAATTTGATTCGGTTAGCAACATATATTACAACGGTCCCGTTCATTTCGCCGATTCAAGTTTAGAATTTAAATTTTACTACAGTAAAAAACTCTCAGAAATAATCGCATTTAACTTTTTTATTACAGTAAAAAGTTTTCATATAAAGTCACGTCTTATCGATTGAACGCATTTATTGTACCCTTTTTATTATTATTATTGAATCAGTCGTTATTGTACTCCTTGACCGATTTTGATGGTGTACTGAATTTAGTTAGAAGAAATAAAGGTGAAATTCTCGAGTGAATTATCATTTTTGCCAGCATTATTGTAAAGGTGGGTGGTTATTTTTTCATCATTACACGCGGTTAACTACACTGACCAATGATGGTGTAAAAAAGTTTCGTTTGCAGTTTATTGTGGGAAATTTTTCTCTTTAATTAATTTTTTTTTTCCTTTGGCATGAGTGTGTCGGTTTTTAGTATTTTCGTCTCCTGATTTTTTGGCTTTTGACAATTTCTCTTAAATTTTTAAATTTGTTATTTTATCACTTTAAATTGCTAAATTGATGTCATACATCCTTTTTTTTTTTTTTTTTTTTTTTTTTTTTTTTTTTTTTTTTTACTTTCATTAGGTCGGATTTGGAGGTTTGATTAGGAGATTGGAGAGGTTTGTGTTGGCCGTTAGGGATTGAATAGAGATTTAGAAATGTTTAGTTGAAAGTGAGGTGGTTGTTGATTTTTCCTGTTGGTTGGTAATATAATAATTTTATAAGTTTAAGGTGCGAAACCTTCAAAATTAAAAATTTAGGATGATTTTTAAAAATCCTAAAAGATTGGGGCCAAAAGTACTAAAAAAATAAAAATTAGGAGGAAAAAAAAAAAAGCACGTGAGCCGGGAGTGGCGCGTAGGCGTGCTCACGACGGTAAATGGACAACGCATATGCTGTGCCACGTGTCCTACCAAAGCTTGCAACACGGCCCATGGAAAGATGTGTCACTCCGGTGGCGTCCCCATCGTGATTTAGCAAAAGGTCGGCATAACCACAGCGCGCGTTTGTCGTCAACAATTGACAACTGCTCGTAATGTACAAAACGGCAAGAGAAATCCAAACGTCAACAGAAAATAAATAAGACTGCTTATCAAACAAAGAATGCGACTATGCCATAAATCATATTTATAACCCAAGTCAAGCTTGTAACGTGGATGGTCGACCATTAAACAGGTCAACTCCTACACTCCAACACGTCGCCCTGAATGAACGACTCATAATTTTGGTCTTGGTCCCACCCTCCAATAATAAAGCCAAGTCTTTTTTGTGCTTGTCACGGCAAATAATTCTACAAAATAAATACATAAATAAATAAGTGTTTCTATAGTAAAGTCTTTTTTAATTGCAGCTTCTGCATGTTTTTTTTAATTTTAATTTTGTCGTGATTTTGATCAGATTTAAGGACAAAAACTAACTCTTATTTATAAAAATGTTTTATCAGAAAAACTCTCCAAAACACAAAAGATTTTAGCTGTAATAATATAATAAGGAATGATGTGGGTGGGACAAAATATGTGCAACAAAGATCAAATCTGCAAGCAATATACCAAATGAAGAAAAATGCTTTGTCATATGGAACACACAAAAACGCTAATGGATTGGCGCTCATTAATTACGAGTTCTAAAGTGATTTGGTGGCAGAGAAGTTGAACAAGTAGCAGTAGAATTTTATGGGAGGATTTAGAAAGCTAAAGAAAGATTTGGCTTCCACAATATCACACAATGAGTTCAACAATTGTAGGTTTGAGAAATTGGCTCATTGGCGGTGGTGCAAAAGACAAAGCCTGTACATCCAAATGGTTGTTGGAAGAAGGTTTAGGATAATCTGGAATTTGTTTTGTGGGGAGGGTTTTATCTTTTATGTGAAATATGTAATCACCGTATGAACAACGGGGTCCTTAATTCTTACCCAAAAAATGGGGTCATTAAATTTTAATTATTTGGAGGCTTGTCAACGGGTAGATTGTGATTGGGGATTGCTTGACCTTGTTGGAAAGAGCAAGCATGGGATTACCGAGTCAACACAAGACCGGCGTTTCAGGGTCCTTGTAGGAGAGTTTGGTCCTCAATAATTGTCTATGGAAACAGATTGATCCAGATTTGGTTGATTGGTTTTTGCTGGAGATTTGCGTGCTGATTGGGTTGAATAAATTTTGGCTAGGGCTGTTTATGGGTTGAGTTGGTGCGGGATAGGATTTTTTTTTCCCGCCTCATAGGGTGCGGGTTACACATATTTAGCCCCAACGATGTTAGAATTTTTTCACAACCCAACGATGTTCGGGTTGGGTTGGGCGGTGCGGGGTGAGTTGGGTGGTCGGTTTCAACATTCAAAAAATTAAAGACTTAAAGTTCAATCTAACATTCAAAGTTCAATCTAACATTCAAAGTTTATAATCAAATAGAAATAGCAACCATTCTTATGAATCCATCTAACATCAAACATGTAGCAAAACAGTCTATCCAACATCAAATATAAAGCAAACATAAATTAGTCTACACTTATAAATTAGTCTTAACATAAAGCAAACATATATGCTTAATTCAAATCCATCTAAAGCAAGCATTGCAACAGCAACAATCCTTATCAGTCCACACCCATAGCCTCCTCAATGGTTGTAGTAGGACATAAAGTTGAGTTATCTACAAGAGAAATGAAAATAGCTTAAGTAATAATTTGGATAGTTAGTTTAGACATGTGTTGTGCGGGTTAGGTTGCGGGTTGTTATGGGCCCAACCCACAACCCGCCCCAAACACTTCAGGCCAGAGATATAATAGGCCGAGAATTAAAAAATAATGCTGCGGGTTGCTTTTTTCGGGTTGGGTTGGGGCGGTGCGGGATGGGTTTGCGGGTTGTTCGGGTTTATGAACACCCCTAATTTTGGCTTTGTTTGTGTACTTAGAACTCACGAAGTTTTAGCAAGATATATGCGAAAGAAGATTCTGCCGTTCGAATTGTGTGCAGTCTTAGGTCTCGTTCATTTCACCGATTCGAGTTTTCAGTTTTAGGTGTCTACAGTTAAAAGCTCTCAGAAGATGTCACATTTAACTTTTTCTGCTACAGTTAAAAGCTTTCAGAAAATGTCATATCTCAGTTCGAATTGAAAATTCGAATCCGCGAAGCGAACGAGGCCTTATTATATCTAGACTTTTACTTGCTAATCGTGGTTTAACCTTTCGTGGCAAGATTAACGGTGATCAAGGATATTGTAATCATTCTACATGATTAGTCCGCCTTTAATTTTGTGCAATAAAAGGAGCTTTTTAAGGATAAATTAGACACATAAAGGTACGATTTGAGAAGTGTTATATCTATTTTTACTCTCTTTTGATATAGTGAAAATCTATATTCTTTTGATATAGTGAAAATCTACATCGACAAAGAAATTGACTCATCAACATTCTCAACTTCTAGGAAACAGCACAACCGGAAGTACTGCCTTAGAAAATTCCGTAAAGCTATGGAATCCCAAAGAAATTGACTCATCAACATTGACCCAACCAGTGGAAGAAAACGAAAGAAAGTTAAGACAATGCACAAGCAACAACAAAAAATCAAACCAAATCTTGTTTTTTATTTGCTTTTCTCTCTTAACTGGGGTAGGATGGTGTGTCCAGACTAATCCTGAACACAGATTTTCCACATCAGGCACTATCTAAGTTTAGTCACCAAATATATATATTATAATATATATAACATGGTAATGCTATTCATGAAAGCTACTCAATTCTCACAATAAAAAAGAGTTAATTGACCAAGTCTGCTTCCACGCATATTATACATAAATAAACTTCAAGATAATCAAAAGCAGCATTTTTGGACAAATTACACCAACTTCTTAGTGAAGTCACAGGGATATAAATGCCTAGAGCTTGCTATTGATTGGCCGCGGAATTCATAGTATGAAAAAAAAATAAAGAAAAAAGATAATCAGCATTCTGATCAAAACTAGAGTTAATACACTATCCGAGTTGTAGAAAGAATTACGAATAAGTTGTTAAGAAAAATCAAAATTCCCATTATAGAAAATCTTGGGAAAGGCAATTCTAGTCATGCATATGGGGACTATGCCATACCAACAAGAAGTGGGCACATGAACTCTTCAAAGCAATAAAAAGCCATTCAACTCACTCAAAAAACCCCCTCAATTGGAAATTTTGATTATGCCTCCATGCTGTAAGAAATCCTAAGTCAAGAAAAAGAAAAGAAAAAAAAAAGAAAAATATCTAGAATTTCCTTATTGGATTCCAGGACCCATCCAGGTTCTTCTCAGCATCTCACTAAAGCTGACCTAAGATTCTGTTGGACGTAAGAGATATTTGTACCTGTTGCTATCACCATGTCCATGAACCTTCAAAATGGGTCCTTCTGTCCTCTTAAGGCAATCCACATTTTGCATTTTGCAGCTTAACTTAGAAAACTCAATTTCCAAGACTCAGCCACTTTCTCTTTTGCAGTAACCAGGTAACAGGTATTTGTACTTCTCAGCATAGTTCAACAAATAAGCAGGAAGATGAACTGCAGAAAATGAGCGAGGAATCGGTCCCATCTTCCCAATGATCTCCTTAAAGGTGTACTCCTCAGGAATCATGTCGAACAAATCAGCGCCTTTGCATATCACGTCCTGAATCCTTTTCGGGTCCAAGTAATGAGAGAACCTCACCCGATCGTAATGGCTGTAAGCTTTCATCTTAAATATGAACTCCTTGATATGGCGGAAGCAAAAGCTACAATGCCACCCTGCATCGGACAATAGGTCGTCTGTCTGTCTGTAGTGAGCATACCTAGTTTTGCTGTGGTATCTATGAACAGAAGCTCTCCAGCTCTTGTTATCGACGTAAAACTCGAAAGAGTACAAGTAGTTCCTGAGCTGAAGATGAAGGATAGACGGGATGTCATCACACCACCTCAGCAGATTAATCGTGTGGGCACTAGGAATCTCATCAACATCGGACATTATCAGCAAGTCGTCCTCTTCTATGCCCGCTATTCTGAGAAGCTGATCCAGTGCTACTCTCTGATACGCCTCCTCCACAAACGGGTTTTCACCTCTCTGGAATCTTCCTCCAATCATTCCATAAGTCAGCCGAGGCTCAATGAACTTGAACTTATCCCGATTGCTAGCGAAAAGCAATGGTTTAGGCAGACCAGTAAATGTTGAGTTCGATTCAAGAAGCACGAACTGCGTCACATATGGATACAATTCATTCCACCTGATAGTGAGGATCTCAAGCTCATTGCTGAAAAGAACCGCATCATAGACGCGCCTTGGCAACTCACGAATTCGCCACCCGTGAAGTCGGCAAAGGGCCTCCATCGACATGTTTTCATGATAGTAATGGGGGATCTCATGGAAGGGCTTCGGGGGAGATTCCCAGAGTGGTCTTAGGAAATAAGAGATCTTCTGCCCATGTAAATATATACCAAAGATACATGTTGGAACAACCACAAATAAGAAAATATACGTCTTGAAATCCAGTCCTCGCAAAATGCACCGGAGTCTGGACATGCTTAGTGCCCCTCGAGGTCCCTGCTGCATATAAAAAACAAGAACTTCCTAAGATATCTGGATTTAACATATGATTCCTCAGAACAATTCAATTTCATAAACTTACTTAAGTTACATAAATTTGACAGAAACAAAAACAAAAACAGAAGGGCAATTCAAAAAGCAAAAACAGTACTCAAACATGTACATTTGATGATCCAATTTCATGGTATAAACAAATTCTCTAGAATTTTTAAACCTCATAATCCACAATCTCAGGCCTAAGAACTTCTGACTAAAATATTGAGGAGAAATGGAGGGAAGGGAACTTATTTTCGTCAATATATGCGTTGCAGAAAACTTATAACCAAAATCATCTTTTTACAATAAAAACTTTAAAATTAAATTACTGGAGTTTCATCCCGATGGGAAATTCAAGGGAATACTGACAGAAGAAAATTCGCAAGATGAATCCCATTTCCTACAAATTCCTTCAGTAAATAACGACTCAAAAATAAGGTCAAGAACTCAAATTTTTAAGGCCCAAATTCACTGAATTCAATATTCTCCTGAATACATTGTCACTTTAACCAGAAATTAAAGTAGAAATTGAACAAAGAATTTGCATCGACAAAACTTCCCCAAAAGAAATACAAAAAACACTGCGAACAAAAAACTTTCTTTTGGAGTTCAATAGAAAGTTCAAAATTTTCAAGCATCGTGAAGTTCATTACAAATTCAAGTATTATTAAATCCCAAAAAAAAAAATCCCAAAACCAGACATTTCCCAAAATACTCCACTTATTTTCGTCAATATATGCGTTGCAGAAAACTTATAACCAAAATCATCTTTTTACAATAAAAACTTTAAAATTAAATTACTGGAGTTTCATCCCGATGGGAAATTCAAGGGAATACTGACAGAAGAAAATTCGCAAGATGAATCCCATTTCCTACAAATTCCTTCAGTAAATAACGACTCCCAAAAAAAAAAAAAACCAACAACAACAACAACAAAGTTACCTGGCCACAAACGTCCTCGCATATATCATCGGTCTTCTTAGAACTATAATATCCATCAGACATGATTAACACGAACTTCGTGAAGATTAAGAAAAACAACAACAACAACAACAACAACAATAATACTAAGAAATGAAACCAAATGCCAAACAATTCCTTGTTTCCCGAACCCTCTCGTCTCTATCAAACTCCACGAAATTCAGATCGTACGGCTAGGATCAACCGCTCAAAATTAGAGACAAAAATTCCAGTCCAGTAAATATCTAGCGGGAAAGAAAAAAAGCCCCCGCTAAAAGCAACGATCTTGAAGGGATTACCACAAAAATAAATATAAAATAAAAAATAAAAATCGGATTTCTATCTTTCTCTCTCTCTCTAACTTCCTTCAATCTCGCGTTCTCTCTCTCTGTGCTATGAAACTCTGTAACGCCATTTATAGCCGTTTGGTGGTTTTTCGCTCTTTCACCAGATAACTCTCTGCTAAATATTGGAAGCAAAGAGAGAGATAAATTTTTTTGTTCTTTTTTTTTTTTTAACAAGAGACATTGAGTAATAAAATAGTAAAGGAATAAATAAATAGATAAATGAAATATTCTCTGAAAAATATACCAAAATAAACCTTAACCTCTAATCTTCTTTTTTCCCACTAAAATAAGAAGAAGAAAAAAAGATTAATTTTATTAATGTGTTTTGAGCTTTGTGTCATGTTTCAACGTGTTTTTTAAACTGTTAAAAGTTTCTGTTAACCTTTTCAAATATATACCTCAATTTCTGCGTGCCTCATAAGATGGAGGGGTGAAAATTGATTGAATGGTACTCAGTGGTCTTGAGAATTATTGCGATAATTGAAAGATCTAGGAGACATAGAGTGCACCATCAGATTCTTTTTTTATTTAGTAAAAAAAATTATATGTACCTTAATTTAATCAGTAAAAAATATGTATTCTAATTTAAAATACCCCTTATATTTATAAAATTAACGCAATAATGACATGAAATTATTTATGTTTTTATAATATCCTCAAATTACTAATTTTAAGTCAATTTACTCCTGAACTATTACATTTTCTTTTTAAGGATAAACTATTACTTTTTAAAATTATTATAAAGTTACTAAAAACTTAGGAGCAAGTTGATCCAAATGTGTTTTGAACCACTTTTTATACTTTAAAAGGTAAAATAAACCGTTCTTTAAAATTTTAAGAGGCATGATAAAGGTTAGAGGGCATGTATAAAATGAATCTAAAAAAAAAAAAAAAAAGGAATGAAATCTAAAGCCTATAATTAATTCTCTTTTTCTTTAACCGTGGATGAGTGGGAATTTTTGATCGCATGGTCAGAAAACGCATAAGGGCAATTTGGTTAATTGATCAAGATAGTGAGGGCTTATTTTTAGTGAAGCTCCGTTGCGGCGTGTTAGAAGGAGCCGTTGTTTTTGTTTGTTTCCTGCAATTTCACTGTGCCCGAAAACAAACAAGGCCCTGAGTACTGAATAGCGGTTGTACGGAGTGTTTTCCCAATTGTAGCCTCCACTTTCTTCAGAGCTCCGAACGATGATCAAGGATATTATAGTCAATTCAGTGTTAGAGTAGTGGCTTTTCCCACACGCCGATTGACGCAATCAAGACGTCCATTATATATACTCTTTTCGACGCAATCAAGACGTCCAATTTTCACGGGCCGTTCGACGCAATCAAGACGTCCATTATTCCCACGCGCCGTTGCATTATATATACTCTTTTCGACGGAATCAAGACGTCCAAATTTTCACGCGCCGTTCGACGCAATCAAGACGTCTATTATTCCCACGCGCCGTTCGACGCAATCAAGACGTCCATTATATATACTCTTCCCACGCGCCGTTTGACGCAATCAAGCCGTGGCTTTTATTTTTCTTCTCTTTTTTCCTTTTCTTCCTAGTGAAAAAAAAAAAGGAAAATGTGAAAAATACATTCTCATTTTCTTTTTATTTTTGTAGAAATGTTAAAAGCTCTACATTCTAAACAAGTTCCAAAAGCCAACAGCCACTAATTATTTTGGTTTTAGGCCATAACTCAGAAGGGTCATTTTTCAGCCTCACTTCATAAGGCCACTTCTAATTAAAAATTAGAGATGGAGACTAGTGGATAAGAATATCTTATTAGCAAAAATTGTGTAACTTTTGGAGAGCCATTACCACTAACTTTGCACTGAGGATTTAAAAGTGGTTAAAAGTATGAAGGGCCATTTCCATTTTTCATTTGCAGTTTTCACAGCCAATTTAATAATAATATTTAGGGGTAAATTGTACAGATGGTCCTTAAACTCTTTAGTAATTGACAGTTTAGTTTTTAATCTTTTTTTCTAGCAAAATGACTCCTAAACTATGACAGTTTAGTACATTCCGTCAAATTTTGTTAAATTTTTAACAGAATATATCATGTGACTCTTTTTTTCAATAAAATGACTTTAATGCCCCCATTAGAAAAGATCTCTTCTTCTTCTTCTTCTTCTCCTTCTCCTCCTTCTTCTTCTTCTTCTTCTTCTTCTTCTTCTTCTTCTTTCCCTGAATTTCATCTCATCTCCAAATCCAAACTGACATGTCTTTTGCTTGGGCTTCTTTGATCTTCTTGTGAGAGTCGCCGTGGCGGCTCAATCTCATCCTTTGCTTCTGCTTATGGCGGCGGTAGGGACGTTCAGTCTACTCGCCAGAGCTGACAATGCGGCGGCATCTCCAAATCCAAATTGACATGTCTTTTGCTTGGGCTTCTCTGATCTTCTTGTGAGAGTCGTCGTGGCGGCTCAATCTCGTCCTCTGCTTCTGCTTATGGCAGCGGCAAGGACGTTCAATCTGCTCGTCAAAGCTGATAATACGGCGGCAATTACGTTGTCTGCAAGGGTCATTCACCGCTTCTCCACTGAGGCCAGGCTTCTTGGTAGAGCTATTTGCCATTTCTTTTTTGTCTTCGGCTTCTTGGCCTCAGATAAGCAGTGTTGAGTATATCAAATGCTTTTCGCTAGCGATGTTCAGAGGCAGAAGATGAAGCTTGGCTCTCAGTTCCAGTTTCTGTTCCCCTCCGAGGGTAGCCAAACGATTTTGTTTGGCAACGATTTCGAAAGGTCAGTCTTCTTTTTTTCTCAACAAATTTCAAGTTTAAACTACGGGTGCGTTTGGAACTCGTTCCAAAATGATTTTGTTTTTTGTATGAAAATAAAAATGAAAACGTTTTCAATCTCAAACATAAATTATTTTTAAAAATGCGTTTGGTAGTTTTATCAATAGATTGTTTTCAATATAAAAAAATCCATTAATGTTTCTATCTCTCTCTCTATTCGAGAGAGAAGAAAACAGAAACAAAAAATGAAAAACGACTAAAAGTAGTTTTTCATTTCTCTCCCATTTTACACTAAACCAAAAAATCATTTTAATTTCTGTTTTTTGTCTTTAATTGTGCCAAACGTCATTTCTCTCCCTTTTTTTTTCTTTCTCAAAAAACATGAAAAATAAAAGTAAAAATAACTCAAAATATAGCCTACATTTTGCTTAATTTCTGTATAAATAACATGACATGTTATGTTAAAAATTTAACGAAATTTGACGGAAATGACTAAATTGTCACCTTTTAAAGAGTTTGGGGGTCTTTTTGCTAAAAAAAAAAATTAGGGACTAAATTGTCACTTACTAAAGAGTTTGGAGACCATCAATGTAATTTACCCTAATATTTAGTTTACAAAAAAAAAAAATCCTTAAACTTTCCAGTAACATATTATCTACTATAGCCTTTCCTATTAACTTATAGGCTTAGCACAATTTCGCTTGTCATTTTCATAGTTATCAAAAAACCCAGCACTTTAATTTGACTAATTCCCACCTTTGTAAAGTGATGCGTGGCTAACTTTTGTTTAATTACCATTATTGTTATGATTCCTTTCCATGCATAAAAATCTCAAATGTGCCTAGTAATAATTCTATAAAAGAGTAGCATTACTTGTTTTATTAAGAGTCAGTCTTTTTTTTCCCCCCCTTCTTCTTTTCCCAAAAAACCAAATACCACGACGAATTAAAACTAACATGCTAATACATATTATTTGTCATATTATCAGCCTTTCTATTTCCTTGTTTTTAATTAACTTACCATCACTTCTATTCGTGAATGATACATTACTTTGACTTTGAGCAGCTTTTCCTATGGGGGAAAAAATGGAAAGAAAATTATATTCCCATATTGCTATCTTCACTTCGACATCCTCTAACCAACGGAGAGATTTATATGCCAAAGATAAGAATCATAATCCAACCATCCAAGTTATATTATATGAAATGATTTACCCTCAACCAAAAACTCTTCATTTTTACTTGCAATTTGAGATATCGACCAAAAGGTTTCATTTCAGCAAACTCTAATAATAGAATTGATAAATTATAAGAACTTAATAATACAGTATTCACTTGTCTTTTCCTCTCAGAAAAGGAAAAATCACCAATTGTAAAATTTTAAATTATCCCACCAATAGAATTGTTAAGAAACTTAAGAAACCAGGGTACCTCAATAAAAAGAAAAATGAACCAAAAAAAAAAAAAAATGGTTATCAGCTTAGTTATATGTCAGGTACAATCCTAACTCAACCCTATAACCTTCTTATTGTGGTGTCTACTCATTTGTGCTTAATATTTTTAGTTCAAAAAGTGCAACTCAAACCAAATATCCTATGCTAGTAACTATTTTGATTTTCATTCAATTTTGTCAAATATTTCGGTTTTTTTAGATAACATTTGGTTTAGTTTCTTTTTTTTTTTTTAAGAAAATGTTTAGTTTGATTTATTATTTTTTTTTAATAATATTTATTTTATTTTTCTCATAAGGGTTAATTTTAATAATAGCACTCATTAATAAATGATTATTAATTTTAGCACATTTTTCGTATATTTTTACAATTAGCATCGTCATGTCAGTAAAAGTAGGATCATGCAGTTTTTACTTGAGTTAAAATGATAATTGTGCCCCATTTCAGTTAAGGCCTTGAATATATATTATAAAGCCTTTTATAATTCAAATATTCAAAGTAAAGAGAGGAGGAGGAGAACGAACGCGGGTGTGCACAGAGACTAAGAAACCCCAACGACCACCACTGTCTACCACTGTCTACCACCTTGAGCACTGACGAACCCATGACAATAAAAACCCACGACAGTGAAAACCACGATAGTGATAACCCACACAATCACGCGACGAGAACTGACGAACCTTCGCCGGAGAAATCAACGCCTAAACATCTTCGTCGGAGAAGAACGAACCGAGGAAACCTCACTTTCTTCGCCGGAGAAATCAGTCACGAAATAGACGAGGTCAATGACAGATTCCGAGACAAAGGTGAAACTTTGTTGGCTTTTATTGTTTATTTATTTTTTTTCTTAGGTATTATTATTATTTTTTTTCTTTTACCATTTTCTGTCGTCTTAGAAAAAAAAGAAAGACTTTGGAGGAAGAGATAAAAGCATATATGG